CAGCACTGTGGAGCTGCCTGCTTAACACTGCCTGGAGCATAAATGAGCCTCCTGGAGAGCCCTGCCCAAATCACAGCCCCCTAAGCAGCATAAATGACCGTTGTTGTAAGACCGAAGTTCTGCAGTGTTTTGTCACACAGTAATAAACTGAAATAATCAAGGCCAGCCAAGCAGTGGTCATGACAATTGTCACTGCCTGAGTCTGTACACCAAAATGTGTAGAATATGTATTAATTCATTGAAAGAAAACCTCGAATAGTGGAACAATAGAAATGCCTCATCACCAATACTTTTTATGTACAGAGGATAATAGTGTAAGAAAAAACAAATGAACCGAAGTGATTTAGAAGAAAAAAAATGAATAAAAAATAAGATAAAATTTTAAATGTGATTTAGGATCAGACTTCAAATATAAAGATATATAAGGAATACCATTTAAAATTAATTTTGCATCCATTTTCCTTTTGAAGAGCACACAACAGTCAGGCAGGGTAGCACACACCTGCAATCCCAGCACTCTGGGAGGCTGAACCAGGAGGAGAGTAAGTTTGAGGCCAGCCTGGACAAATCAGACTTAGCAAGACTCTGTTTCAACATAAAAAATAAAATAAAGGGCTCTGGGGATGTAGCTTAATGTGAAGGCCCTGGGTTTGATCCCCAGTACAGTAGAAGAAAAAAAAAAGGGTATACAACAGTGACATAATGATGAAAAAATTATGATTAAAAAGCTATATCTAAACATATTTTTAATAACATCCAGGGGCTGGAGGTGTAGCTCAGTGGTCAATTATGTGCTTAGCATGCATGAGATCTAAGGTTCCATCCCCAGTACACATACACACACACACACACACACACACACACACACACACACACACACACATTAAATTAAGATAAACATTAAGTGATAAGAAAGCAGTATAAGGTTCCACTGGGAGCTAAAAATTAATTTTCTGCACTTAATAGTCCAAACAAGTGACTCTCCATTAACCCCTGAAATCACCCAACTTTTATATATTACAGATGTTTAGGTGGCTCAGTCCTCTTCAGTGGAGGTGGGGGACAGTAAACTTAATGAAAATGTGACAGAGTAGAGATCTCCAAAGCACAGCTAAAGGCATGACCAAGGCATGGGCCATAATAAAGAAACAAGGGGAACTAAGAGGTTCTTCTTCAGCATTTATAAAGCAAAAGGAAATGAAGGTGTTGATTGTATTACTACTGTCAATCAACAGAATCAAAGCTTCCATAGACTTAAAAAACAGAAGTTTATTTATAAAATATATTTTAAAGGTTTGACAAAAAAAAATAAGGCTCCAAAAATCCCACAGTCTACTACATCTCATCATCATTTACCACAGTCAACAACCAAGTTTCACTAATTCAACTCCTGTATTTTAAGTACAAAGGATATCTTTTAAAATCATGGTATTTCTTTTTATGAGTTATACTGCTTAAAAGTTACAAAAATCCAGTCTGACAGTGCCATTTTTGTACTTCATAAAATAACACTCTAGGGCCAGGGATTTAGCTCAGTGGTTTCGCTGCCTACTGTGCAAGTGCAAGGACCCGAGTTCGATCCCCGGTACCAAAAAAAATAAATAAATAAAATAAAATAATACTCTGAACAAAAACTTACACTGAAATCTCTCAAAATGTATTAATGAAGGTTAATTCACAGTTTTTCTAAGGCAAACTAAACAAAATGAAGTGACTTCAATCACAACATTATAAACACTAAAATGCAACATTAGTGTAAAGATAAAATATGGAACTCTGGAGATAGAGAATAAATTTAAAATGTTTAAATATCAAGAACTATGTACTTTGGCTTATTTATTTTATTGTATGTATATATGCATACATTTTGATACAGGGTCTCACTGAGTTGTCCAGGCTGGTCTCAAACTTGTGGGATCCTCCAGCCTCAGTCTCCTGAACAGCTAGGACTACGGGTCTGCACCACTGCATCTGGCCCCTGACTTTGTATTTAAAATGGAGGGGAGAGGAAAACAACTGGTCCTATAGACAGGGTCTCGTCATACGCAGCAGCAGGCCATGTCCAGTCAGGTCACCAAACGCACCCGGAGAAAGCCTGGCCTTGAGGTTTATGTCTGGGGCCTTTATTCATGAAAATCTAACTTTGTTCAATGAAGGTCACAGGATCCCAAAATATATCCTAAATTCTGTTCAGTGTCCCTCTGGAAATTTTCAAGTCCAAAGACTTCCGGTCAAATTGTCTGGAGTTTGGTAACAATCAGCACTCTCACCATCTGGTCGAATGAAGTACAGACGCAAAGGCCCCTTTTGTCCGGACTCCAGTCCAAGTTTGAAATGGGCTGGGTAGACAGCGTAACATTCTGCAGAAGACTGATGGAACCCGCAACTCCCATCTCCACTCCCTCGGGATCTTTCTTTGACCTCTGAATAGGGTACTCGCTGAAAACAAGAACAAAGTGGTAAGAGGAGAAAAATCAGCATTCACCGTTTTATTTTTATACATAAACTTCAATGACTATTTTTATTTTTCAGTTGACTACTCGCACTAATATGTAAAGAATCGTTCTGATATTGACTTGTATGCAAATAAAGAGATGTATTTCAAACTCAGCCCTATTCCCAAAATATCTCATAAGAAAGGTTATTTCTACTAAAAACTTTTAATCTTCATCTCTGATCAGCATTTGCCTATATTTCTCTTTTAATATGAAAGTCGTAGCTTGATGCAGCATTCTTTAACAATAAATTGACTTGGGGCTCTCAGTAATCTTTGATTGTAATTCTCTAGGTTTGGACTGCTGGACACCAGATGCAAAGAGCATGTGCAGAGGCAAAGGTAACATTCACAGAGGCCGATCTCAGTACATTGAGGAAGAGAATGGACCCCACTGTCAGGAAAGCAAGCTCCATCACACAGATGTAGGCTTAGGACCTTGCCTGTGCCGTTTCCCTGGGAAGGCCTGCTAGGCAGTGATTTCTAACCTAAACATCACTGCTTCAATGAAGGTACAAGCAATTCCAAGAATATTTGATTTTTTTTAGGCTGAAAAGATAAAGTAAGAAGAGCTAATGTTTAGTTAATAACTAAATACTATTTGGTCTAGATGGGGGGGGGATATTACCCTATAAAAATGTGTTCCAGTGAAATGGAATACTCATCTGCAGAAGGCCTTTCAGAGCCTTTTTGGTATCATATGACATTATGTGTAGTTCATAAATGCTTTTTTAAAAAAGGCCAAGAGTTTAAATAGCATGAAGCTGATCAGGCGCAGAGCAGAAAGAAAGAACCTATAACTAGAAAAGCCATTCTCTCCACCTCTCAGACCTTATAAATTATTTTAATTAAAAGAAATAAAATATGCAGATTTGAATAAACAAGTTTAAACAGATTTTTTTTTGTACCTCTTGGCAAACACTGCAGTTGTTTAGTATTTAAAAGATAACATTCGTTTGAAACCCTCCACGTTATCTCTTAAAATTTTAAAAATGTGTGTGTACATTTCAAATACTCAAAAAAAAAAAATCAGCATGATGATGACCATTCATTCAAAAAATAAATTCTGAATAAGTACATGAATTCCTCTAGGAATTCTTGATTAAGTGCTCAGTAAACATTTACAATTTTTTTTTCTTTTTCTTTTTCTTTTTGGTGGTACCAGGGATCAAACTCAGGATCTCGCGCTTGCAAGGCAGGTGCAGCCCAAACATACAATTCTTTGGGGGGGTACCGGGGATTGAACTCAGGACCTTGCGCTTGGCAAGGCAGGCGCCAGAACCACCAAGCTAAATCCCTGGCCCAAACATATACAATTTAATTGCGCTGCTATCATGGAAGATATCATTTTACGTAAACCAATTTTCTTTTGCAAATAGAAACCTTGATAGCAAAGCTCCAAACCAACTTGAAGATTAGACTAGTCATTTATCATAGTAAGAATTAAAGTTCACATTGAGATAAACTTCCAAATTCTATTGATACACAGACCCAACTTCACTGATATAACTACACTCATTATGGTACAAAATTCTCACTGCAAATGTGTCCATGTGTGGATTATAAATAAAACTGGTACTGTGAGAGCCCCTGGGATTCACAGAGTAGAGCTCATGGTTATAGATATGGAGAAAGCAAACTCAATAATGTTCTTCTTGGAAAACCAATCAGAAGACTAGGGCTCTGATTTTTGGTTTGATCACAATAATACAATCTCAATTTAGGCCAGTAAATTATCAAGATATAAAACTAAGAATTCCAATCTTTTCCTTACCTTCTAGAGGTAGTGTTCTAATGGAGTGTAAGACAGTATGTAACAAAAGTCTTAGGTCAAATTTTGCATACTTAAAAAAAAAACAGGCCGGAGATTTAGCTCAGCGGTTCCACCGCCTGCCTCCCAAGCACAAGGTCCTAAATTCAATGCCCAGCACCAAAAAAAAAAAACCCTAGCAAAATCTATGATTTCAAATCTACGGAAAAAACTCTTGCTATGCTCTTCTGATATACAGAAGACACAACTATAATGAAAACATTATTTAATGTCAAAAGAAAGCTTTTATTAAGTATAAAATAAGTACATTTTTTAAAAATGCTTAGCAAACAACAGTTATGTAATACCATGACAGTTAAAATCATATCAAAATGAACTAAGTCAAAGGAGGAGAAAGACAAAAAAGTTCAATCTAATCCTACTTTACTCCCACAAGTAACTTTAAAAAGGAGCAGTATGCACTGGGAGAGACTTACTACTTCCAGAGGTGAAGGCTGCCAGCACCTCCAGCTGTCAGAAAGAGCTCTCTGTTCTGCGGCAGGTGTCGGACTTGCCACACAGTGGATTTATGAGCCTAGACAGGACAAGAGGTGCACTACTGGTTTATACGGTGTGTGGTGGCCTGGAAGAGAAGCCTATGCAGAATTCTCACTGCCGTAACTTCAGCTGTCAGAAAAGGAACTGAGGGTGTTTCTGGCACATCCCTTTATAATGGTTACAAAGATTTATAGAAGACCATCAGAAATTAGAAAAAGCATCATTTTTCTCTATTGCTTTAGAGAACAAAGTTCTACTGGGTTAAAACAAAAAGGAAAGATATTAGATGGAAAGTCCATTTAAGTTTATGGAACCACAGAAATTATTACAAAATTTTATATATTTAAATCACTAGTTCATTATGAGAGGGGAAAGCTCTCAAAATACAAAAATATACATGTCTTTCTAAGGAAAAGAAAGTGTAGACTGATTTTTAAAATAGGTTTTGGTTTTTAGAACAGGTTAAGATCCCCAGTAAAAATGATGGAAAGTACAGAGTTCTAGTTTATAGATTAAATTTTAACTTAACAGCTCGGAGAGCCTTATCTTCAATTCACTGCCTTCTGACTTGTCCAGTCTTCAAAATACAGATCATGAGGATTTATAGACAGTGTTTAAGGTCTTAACAAGATAAGGCTCTTCCCAGTCACATCAAACACAAAGATTTAAAAATGGCAACTGGAAGAAGGTTAACAGTTGGTTAGCACCTCAACAGCCAGTAAATCATCCTGGCCAGCCTTGTTGGCTGCGGGGGACCCTGTGGAGTGAGATGGGGGAGGGGGAGAGCGGGAGGGGATGAGAATTCTGCTTTGGAGAAGCAGGGAGGCTGGCTGACTCCACCCAGGCCCTGCTTTTACACTTCATATTTCAGTGAGTGATTAGTCTTGACTTTGGCTTTTAATAGTCTTTTGAGAGCACTAATTATAAGATAAATACACACATCTTAAAATACCCACTTTAAATGTGTTAAGAGTCCCCAAGTGATTAAGTTCAAGCTGCCAAGACTTGTTTTCATTTGTTTTGTAGCTTAAACTTTTTTTTGTAGGAGTTGAGAAAAACATTAAAAAAGGGGATAAGGGAGAAGATGACCTCTTAAAATACACCAGAGACATTTATTTGACAGACTCAGCAATTACTGGCTTAACTAAGTATTAGGAAAAAAATTTTGAAGAGGACAGTATTATTTGCAGATAATCAAAGAATGTGTTGTGAATTCCATACAAAAAATTTAGCAGACTGTACACAAAAAACAACAAGTGTTGTTTGTTGTGGATAGGTACTTAATATATTCTGAATTGACAAAGGTAAAACAAATTCCAATTTGTAGCCACTTTGTTAAGAAGTGAGATCATCCAGCAGTAGCAATAAGGTATAGACAATAATAATTACTGTAACCACAGGAGACAAAATAGGGAGGTTTGAGAAATCCTGTAGAATCTACAGTGAAGAGAGAGAGAGCAAGGTAGTGATTTCTTATTTCCTAATGAACCTGTACATTTTAATCTTATGGAAGCTACCAGCCTGTAACTGGTTTTTTGTTTTATAATCAAGAAAGCTCAGTCACATTTCCAATCCATATCTTGGCAAGTGGTAGGATGTGTCAGCATGAATTTTATGTAATCCCCATATTTCAGGTATTTTCTTTTTTCTTTAGCAGAATCTTCCCTTCAATTTTCTTTCTTCATCTATTTTTATAATGCTAGAATACCATGTCTCCCTCTAAGTTACCTCAAAAGCAAGGCAAAATATAAAACAATAAAATATTTTGAATGCTTAATACATACTAATTCCAGTAATCAGTAACTTTTTAACTTTTTTTTTCATTTAACGTAGCCACCTAGAATATAAAATAAAATTAATGAAATGACATAATGGATATATGTTGATATATTCCAAAAGTATGTAATTAGGTTATATTTTTAAAAACATTATATATTTATTAGAAAACATCAGGCTAGGTTTTGTTGATCTAATTCCTAACATCAGTTAGGTTTCTTATGATTTTCCTAAGTCACAAAATAAGATTCCTAGCTAACTGAGATCATTATCATAATCAAGGAGCCTAAATTGATAAAACTTTGGGAAAGTATTCTTTGCCCAAAAAAACTTGTCAAGATCTCACAAGAATTTAACAAAAATAGCTTCTTTCCCATAAAGACCTGGAGGAACCTTGGTGACTAATTCTATTTATTAGTCTAAAACAAGCTATCATTTCTCTTCACAGAAAGACATTTCCTTCATATTTACCTTTTCTGAAACGGAGGCAAAACCTTTGGTAGGATGTTGTGTTCTCATGTCAAAAACATGAAACTTTCCTTCCAAAGATGTAGCTACTAACTTATTCATACTTATGTCTTTTCTGTCAAACTCCAAGCTACATACCTGGAAATAGAGAATATATGTTATTGATAGGCTCATCATTATTATTTAGGAGGCTCTTTTAAACTAGGTAAAACAGCTTCAAAATGATAAGATCATGTAAAAGCACTCAAATAATCATTTTCTCTTTTGAATCAATACATCAAGTACTTTTACTCTAAAAAAAATCCTTTCCAGGCATGATGGTGCATGTCTGTAGTCCTAGCACTTTGGGAAACTGAGGCAGGAGGTCTGCATGTTCAAGCCAGCCTGGGCAACTCAGCAGGACCCTGTCTCAAAATAAAAAATTAAAAAAGTGCTGGAGATATAGAGCAGCATGAAGGCCCTGAGTTCAATTCCCAGTTTTGCATAAATAAATAAATATCTGCTAATATGATCAACAAAAACATCTTCATTTCCCATGCTTCCCAGTAGAAGCATCTGGAAAATGAAAATCTAACTCTTTACATTATTTTACACAGTTAAATCAAGGTTGCCTTTAGAAAACTGGAGGGAAATAAATTCCTCAGTAAAGGTGTACAATCCCAGAGCACATGGAGAAGCTGCTGCTACTTTAGGCTTTCTGATATCAGCAGAAGAGAGTCCTCTTACGGGATCATTTTATTGTCACACTGCATAGCCCACAGGGTCCAAAGGACCTCTGGGGCTGGGGGCTGGGGGCTCCCGGCATTATACACCATATCTTCAGTGTGTGTTCACTTTCTGAAGAAAAGAAGCACGACTGTCATGAGGTCCTCAAAGGAGCTTGACCCCAAAAGGCTAAGAAGCATTAGCAGACGGCTGACTGAGATGGGTTACCAGAGATGCTTTTCAAACTCTGCAGTAGTTTGAGGTGAAGGAAAACATGCTCAGAGAGATGAAACAGCTTTAGAATATACATTACCCCATTTTTTATATTTGTTTCCCACCGCAATGACATTTTTCTGAGATCAAACAGTTTGATATCACCATTGTCATAGCCAGCACAAACGACACGTTCTTCTTGATTATAAGCATTGCCTGGAAATCAAGATACAACATTTCAGGCCTATACATGCTAATCTGAAGGTTCTGAAAAATGTAATGAAACTACAAATATAACTCATGCCAAGTGTGATTTTATTTTATTTTTTATTTTTTTTTGGTACCAGGGATTGAACTCGGGTCCTTGTGCTTGCGCCAAGTCTGATTTTAAAAATCACATCAGGTACAATCCCATTCTATCCTGACAGGATATCAAGATTATTAATTTGGTGCTTAATTTTTTAAAAAGGCTTATTTGAGATGGCACAGTGGTGCATACCTGTAATCCTACCTACTTAGGAGGCTGAGGCAGGAGCATCACAAGTTCAAGGCCAACCCGGCAACTTAGAGAGACTCTGTCTCAAAATAAAATTTAAATACGGCTGGGGACATAGCTCACTGGTACAGCACCCAGGTACTGCAGGAGAAAAAGCTCACTCATTGAAATTCTACATTCAAGGGAAACACTGAAGTGTTTACTAGATTCTAAGTTAAAAGAAAATGCTCTCTCTATATTTTGTCTGCACAGACTAGCAGACCAACTGCAGTTCAAACACAGTTGGGCCTGGGAAGATAAACACAGGCATGCTTCTACTGACTACTTTGCACTAGGTATTCTGAATGCAAATAGAACAACTTTAAAACTTATTTATTTTGCAAAATGTTCTGGTATTATTCTGTCTTGGCAAGAAAATCTGAAATAATGTAGAATAAGCAGTGACACATTTTTGGTAGTGTGGATTATCACACCTGAAGTAACTTTATAGTCTGTAGTTAAGTTCATACTGCTAAGGGATTGTTTATTCTAAATTTCCTTACTGAGGAAAGGTGGGGGATGGGGGGGGGCTGTCACTATGTTAGGCTACCTGGACATCTTACCCCAGTGCCTTGCTTCTTCCTTGCCTCCAACTTCCTCCTCATAAACTCCAGCATCTTAAACTGATGATATCCCAAACTGACTTCACCAAATTCCCTAATAAACCACCCAGCCTTTGTGCAGTCTTTTCAATAAAGCATCACTCACTCCACAGTAAGTCCCAAAATTAGGTCATCATGGACATATTCCTTTTCCTTATATCCAAAAAATTGCCAAATTCTATTTATTCTGCCACAATATTATCTTTGGAATCAGCCTTTCTGCTCCATTCTCATTGTTTCTAACCTCTCTTACCTGGAAATATTACAAAAGCTTCTGAACAAATAGCCACTGAACCACTCACTCCTCTCCCTGATACAGTTAATATTCACTAATTTTCTTAAAATCTTGGGTCACATCTCATCCATACAAAAACTCCAAAGGCTCCACTACCCCCAGACCACCCCAGCACCTATGGCCACCGTTCTAGGCCATCTCTAGGTTGCTCCCACTATTCCCTTGAACACATTTTCTTGGGCACTTTAAAGTTATGCTCTATGTTTGAAATTTACTCACCATTTCAGTAGTAAAATTCCTATGAATCTTTGGTATGAGCTCAAAATGCTCTTCCTCCCCAGGATCTCTCCTTCTGGACTCCTTGTGCATCTATCTATGGAACCTGGGAACCATTGATTACTCCTATCTTGTACTATAACTAATATGGATGTCATGCCCTCTTTACTAAACTATCAGCATGACACTAAAATATGAGCCTGTTTCCTTTGCATGCCCACAATGGTTTGCACATACTTGACATTCATTAAAAAAGAAAAAACTCAAACCAGACATAGTGGGATACACCTGTTAGTTCCTGCTACTTGGGGGCCACTTGAGCCTAGGAATTTGAGGCCAGCCTAGGCAACATAGCAAGACCTTGTCACAAAACAAAACACTCAATGGATGAATGATTTTTTTAAAAGTTTAATACGGTATGTATCAAATCATCCTTATGTTCCTGATATCAGCAATGAAAAGGTTTCCACGGATCCAAAGATAACTACTTTTTAAGTATATCAATTTAAAAATAATCATTCTAAATACTAGTCTTGAAACTTCTCCAAGTGTACATATCCTAAATTTATATTATTGTTCATAGTGTACATTTGGTAATTCTCATACAGTAATTTCTTTTAGAAGTCAGAAATCTAAGACTTTTCAGTGACTAAGAGAGTCTGACTTAAAAAGTTAAACAGTTCACTTGTACTATTAAATTCTACTTTTCATTCCTATAATCTGTATCATTATACTAAGTAAATAAGAGAAAGAAAATAGATATTTAGAACTAAATATGCAGCGCCTGCCTGGCAAGCGTAAGGCCCTGAGTTCTATTCCAGCTACCAAAAAAAAAATATGGCCTAAATCCTTTAGCACCAAAACTTAATTTTATTTTGGTGTTCAGTAAGAGACCCAAGGGCAAGCATCAATTAGTCCTACAAAATCGGTATTTTTGTAAGTATATTGATAAAGGAACAGTTACCAAATTTATAAGAAATAATTTTATTGAGGGATAACTAGTTCCTAGAAAATAAACACACTATATAAAACGTAAGATTTGTTAGGCTATGATTAATTAGTATTTGAGATTCTGCTTTGCCTCATTAATGGCATTTGGTTCTAAACTAGGAAAATCTTACCTAATTAATCAGGAGCAAATAATAATAACAGCAAATATTTTTGAATATGTAACAGTTTAAACCTAATTCTGACATACTTTACATGTATTAACTAACTCACTGAATATTTTAAAAAATACTATCAAGTAAACTCTATCAGTTCTACTTATAAATGGAACAACTAAGGAACAGAAATTTAATAACTTGCTCCAGGACATATAGCAAGCACCAGAGTGAAGATTCAAGCCCCTGTCCCTGGACTGGCATGGACCCTTATGAACTCAGAAAAATCCACAAAACAGACTAGACAGGGACTATCAGGATTTTTTTGAGGCACCGTGCTTTTCACCATCTGAACTTCAAAAACAAAAGCACCTCAATAATTTACCAAATGCCACAGTCCAACAGTCTCTCTTATTTTCTCCTTTTACAGGTTCCATATTGGCAACAGGATCATCTTTTTGCCTTGGGTCCCACACCTTCACAGTTCCTGCCATGAACAAAAGGGAGTTAGCAAAATTCCATAGTGAACAATTGCATCTCTTTTCTGCATTCTCTTTCCATAGCTTCCAGTGTACACGGCAATATTATAGATATTATGGCATCTAAAAATATTAACGTTTTTCTGCTTTCTAATTGGTTAAGTTGTATTTGACAACAATAGATCTATAATTCATGTTGCTGACTACATGATTTTCAAATTATACACAAGAATAAGTTCTCATTTTAATACCTATGATTTTTTATATGGGGTTTTAGAATACTATTTCACATACAATTAAGTTTAATTTCCCCCAGGGCTAGTAAGGAAGGAAACATTAAATAATTAGCAAATAATTCTTTTCAATTTAATTTCAATCCCCTCATGTTAATTCTTATCATAGGACTACTAACTAAATAGTGTCACTGCCCACAAGAAATGGAAATGCATGTAATGCAATGGCTAAAACCAAGTATCTGAGAGAGAACAGGAAAAAGGAAAATCCTTGGAAGAGATAATAAACTCAGGAAAGCAGGAGACATCCCACTAGACTTATCTCCAGTGATACAGTTGGTCATTAAAAAGGCTCCTATAAGGGCCAAGGATGTAGCTCAGTGGCACTGCACCTGCCTGGCAAGCACGAGGTCCTAAGTTTAATTCCTGGTACCAGAAAATAAAATAAAATTAAATTAAATTAAAAGGCTCCTGTAAGAAGAAGAAAAACAAACAAAAAAACTTCTTACAAATAGGAGCATTCCTTTACAGTGTTCATACAGATTGGTAAGATTTACAGGAAGTTCAAAAGAGTTAAATTAGCAAAGAAAATTTAAGAAATTCATGAAACAAAATTAAAGAGTAAGAAAACATAAAAAGAAGAGGAGTATTATTTTTATCATCATACAATTAGGGGGATGGCCAGGGATTTAGCTCAGTGGTTCCATCGCCTGCCTTGCAAGCACAAGGTCCTGAGTTCAATCCCCGTTACCAAAAATAAAATAAAATAAAATGAGGGGGAAAAGAAAATAAATGCCAATAGGGAAAATAAATGCCAATAGGAAATCTACCTCATCTATTATAGCTGATGATGTAAACAGGTTCTTTGGAAAGTTTAACAACAAATTTTAAGAACCATAAACTGTGTTTACCCTCCAAGAGTCACAAACATGAAATAATCATTTCTTCAATATTTTTAAGTCACTGTCCCAAAACAATAAACAAAAAACTTAAGGCATACTGAACGATTATTAATAGGTGCATGGTTAATTACACTGTGACATAGCCATACACTGGAATATTATAATCATTAAAGTAATAATTATGAAAACTATACACAAACAGCAATATTTGCATGTAATAAACCTTAAATGAACAAAGTCAGATATTTAATTGTATTCACACTGATACTCAAAATTGTATGTAAATCTGGATATTAAAAAAAAAAACTGGATAGGAGCTGAGCAGGTGGTGCATCTGTAATCCCAGCACTGGAGAGGGTGAGGCAGGAGAATTGAGAGTTCAAGACCAGCTTGGACTATATAGCAAGTTCAAGGCCAGCATACACTATACAAAAAACAAACACACAAGCTGGATAAGAAAAAAAAAAAAATCTAGTGGTTGCGGTACTTTGATAAGTTGAATGTTATTTTTCTTTCTCTATTCCATATTGCTTTTATGACTGACAAAAACAGCATTTCTAAAACACAACTGCTCTTGAATAATTATTAGAAAATTATATCTCATTGTGTCAGTTACTTTTATCTCATTGCTGAGACAAAATACCCAAGACCCAAAGTTAAAGAGGGAAAGGTTTATTTGGCTTACAGTTCATAGAGGTTTCTGTCCATAATTAGCTGGCTCCAAGGCAGGGTGGCAGAAGACAGCAAAAGCAACAAGGAGACCGTAACGGTGTATTTCTGCCTCTTTTATCTTATTCAGACTACTTACGGTAGGCACCACTCACACCCTTAATCCTAGTGTCCTCAGGCCTACCACTGCACCAAGAATCAATCACACTCTGAAAAAGTCCCAAAGACTGCATGAGGTTTTAGGAGACATATAAACACAAGCCATAACATTTTGTCCCTGGCCCCCCAAAGAATCATGCACATCCCTTTATGCAAAAGCCATTTAGTCCATCTCTAAGAGTTGCCAAAGTCCTAACAGTTTCAGCACTGCTGTAAAGTCCAAGTCCAAAGTCTCCTCTGAGATTTAAGGAAAACTCTTAGCTGCAAGTTCCTGTACAAATGAAAAGGTTAAATACTTCCAATATTCAATGGCACAAGATAGACATTACCATTCCACAAGGTACAAATAGGGGGATACAAAGGAATGGAACCAAAGCAAGTCCAAAATCCAGCAGGGCAAACATTAAATCCCACAGTTTCATCTCCAGCATCCCCGGCAATCTGTGGCAAGTTGTGAACTCCAAAGAGCTCAGCCCCTGTGCCACTACCAGTGGTTGTAGCTCCATGGCTTCTCTCCTGGGCCGGCTCTGCTCCTTCTTTGCAGTTTTCCTCAGACAATCCACATTCCTGGCTTCTCCAAACTTCTGGGGTCTTGACTGTACCTTCAGCTTCACACTTACAGCTTCACACACTGCCCTCTCAGGGCACACTGCCTGGCCTCCCAGGCCATCTTCTGAAGTCTGGGTGGAAGCCTCTCTACCCCATAACTCTTGTATTCTGCATGTGCCTAAAACCAGCATTACTTGGTCTGCTGCCAGCTGGAGCAGTAGCTAGGCTTTCTTCTCTTGGCTGTAGGGATCCAGAGCCTATGAACCAAATTCCAAGGAATAAATTTCCTAGGCCACATCTGTTCTGGAAAATGGTGCCTTGGGACTGTCTTCTCAAAGCAAAATATTTCACATTTGCCATTCTGAGGCTGCAAAGGGTGGAGTCCTACTGCTTCCTATGAAGCCTTCAGGCTGTCTTTTCTATTCTCCTGTTCTGTCTCAGTAATCCAGATCACCTCTGCTCTGTCCTTACAGGCTACAACTTTATGTCCTTTCTGGCCAAACTCAAAACGTTTTAAATTATTCTGCTGGGCTCTTTGCTCTTGATTCTCAACATAAATTTGGCTAAAAGCCCCCAACAGCAGCCATGCCACGGCCTCATATATTAGACTGCCTTGAAATTTCTTCTGTGAGATTAATTAGTCCGACACCCTTAATCTCAGTCTCAGGCAGTCTCTGGATAGAGCAAAATGCAGACAAAATTTCTGCCAAGCCATAACAAACATCATCTGGAATCCAAAAGCCAATGGAGTCCTTCTTCCCAGCAGAAACCTCCTTAGCTTGGTCTTCACCAGCTTTCTGGTCTTCTGAGCTCTGACTAGAATCTCCCACATAGTACAGCCTAAGGCATTCCAGCTCTACCTTTTAAGTCAACATCTCTGAACCTTTGCTAACTCTTCCTTTTCCAACAAACCAGTTCCAAAGGCTCTTCAACCACATGGCCAGTTATGTCTTAGCAACAACCCCACTTCTCTGGTACCACATCTCTGTTAGTTACTTTTCTTTCATTGATGAGACAAAATACCTGACACCTAAAGTTAAAAAGAAAAGGGTTTAATTCTTTTAGCTCACAGTTTGTAGAGGTTTCAGTCCATAATCGCCTGGCTTCAAGGCAGGGTGGCAGAGCAGCAACAGTTCAGGGCTGACAAACAGTAGCAAAGCAATAGGAGATCTAAATAGCATCTTTCTGCCCCCTTTATCTCAGACTACTTAGAGCCTAGCACAAACGCCCTTAATCCCAGTGCCCTCAGGCCTAGCGTCACCATGAATCAATCACATCCTCTAGATTCAGCCACCTCTGAAAAAGTCCCAAAGACTGCATGAGGTTTTAGGGGGACATCTAAACACAAGCCATAGGGCCGAGCATTTAGCTTAGTGGTTCTGCCACCTGCCTCGCAAGTGCAAGGACCCGAGTTTGATCCCTGGTACCAAAAAAAAGAAAACACACTAAACACAAGCCATAAAACTCACTTTTCTTCTAAAACAAATTTTCTCATAGTCTTGAGAAGCCATTTAAAAACTAGCCAAAACAGCTAAAGTACCAATCTCTCATATACACTTCATGAAGCAACAAAAACTCTCCACTCTGTGATAGTCATTCAGAACCAATATGGACACCAGGAGACCTGTCCCTCGGGTCACCAGAGGCTGGAAAAGCCCACTCGGTACTGTGGTATGCTCTACAATGCTCAGCGGATGGATTACAGAAGTTCAATTTTCAACCAGCTGTCAATATGACAATTTTCACAAGTACTGATTCTGCTTTTTAAAAAAAGAAAATGAAAAGCTGCCACCCACATTATATCATCAGCTGCCTCAAAACCTGTAAAGACATTTTAAATCCTTCAAGGTTCAAAGGAAACTATCAATGTTAGTAGCTGAACTAACTCAAAACTGAAATAATAAGTGCTGTGCCTCTAAATACACTCAAAAGTCTGAAGCAATTGAAGGATATGCAATCACACTTGCCTATTAAAACCGTAGAAGCAAAACTATTAAGAGAATCAAGGTGACCAAAGAGAATTTCTGTGTAGAGAGGTATACTGTTGCATAGATTTCCACTAAAAAAACAAAACAGAAAAACCTTTTTACATACATAGAATACAGCGACTTACCATCTCGGCTGCCAGTCACAATTTCAGGCGCTCCTTCCCCAACTCCTAGCCCTCCAATACCATCTATAGTATTTATAATTTCTTTATGGCCGTTTACAGTATATACTGGCATCTCTGGAGCTTCCAAATTCCTAAACAAAGAACACAGTTTCTTATACCGTATGTACCAAACACTTAAATCCATTACTAAAATTTAAGCAGGTACACATGCATTTTTGTTGCTTAAAAATAAGGATTTTGCTATGAAGGTAATTTATATATTTACTTCTGTTTTCTCTGTTTCAGGTTCTTTCAAGCCCCAATGCAAACTATAATTTTATTCAGCCTGAAATCTGAACTCCTGAGTCTAACTAGTGTTCTTCAATCATTCAGAGATCTATGTTGGGTCCTCCACATATGACTTACGAGGTGTGCTTGTTAATAAAGGCAGATTTGTGAGTTCTCCTGTAGACAATATGAATCAGGATCTGGGGATGGGACTCCAATCCACAGACTAGTTGGTACATTGCAATTTGATAGAAACCACTGCTTTAAATCTAGTGTAAAATCAAAGTCATATTAGAGTCATTCAGAATGACTCCAAAGCTGCCCTTGGTAGTTTCATCCTGAGAAATTTTTGGAGGCTAAAATATGCATTGTGTTTACTTTGTATACATCTCTTACTCTATAATGTATTATTTTCCAGTCAATGTCATACTGATTTTCATTTAGTGACATCTTAAAATGTTTCCTCATACTAGTCACAATAAATATTAGAGCCAGCCTGGCTGAAATTCATCTAACCCAAAGTTAACTCAAAAGGCAGTCAGAAAAGTACCAATTAATACATGAACTTGAGGGATGAGTGGCTGGATGAGGTTATATTCAAATCTCTTTATAGCCTCCTCCATTTCCTTCCTTTTTTGCTCTTCACTGGTAGCTTCTATCCACATTTCTCATAGTTAGTTTTCAAAAACTTACACTTTTTAAAAAAAGAAATGTGAGTTATTTATGAAATGTAATCTCAACTTATTACAGCAAAATTGATTAGTAAAATATCATTGGGGCAGGGATTTAGCTCAGTGGCACCATGCCTGCCTTGTAAGTGCAAGGTCATGAGTTTGGTCCCTGGTACCAAAACAAAACAAAACATCATTAATCAAAACTTTGATTAAGCTGGGTACAGTGGCACACATCTGTAATCTCAGCATGGAGGGAGGCTGAAACAGGAGGATGGCAAGTTAGAGTCCTACCTGAGCAACTTGGCTAGACTTTGTCTCAAAAATAAAAAACAATAAATAAATAAATAAATAAATAAATAAATAAAATTTTAAAGGCTGGGGATGTCACTCAGTAGGCACAGCAGCCCTGGGTTCAATCCCCTGTATTGGAAAAAAAAATTGAGCTAGTTCAACTTAGTTTAGAGATGAGGATTTGTAATATCATTATGAAAGAAACAAGAGACTAAGCAGGATTGTGCTAAAGAACTGTTTTTATTATTTTTATAGAATTTAAAATGTGATTTGTTATAAACTTGAAATTATAAGATATCAATGAAATTAAGTTGATAATATTTGTACCATATTAGGGAACTCTATTAAGAAGATGGCCAACAGTTATTCTTGTTAAAATATATTCATTTAAAAAAAGGCTGGCTTCTCTCTCAATTCCTCTGAAAGTATATGACATAGCATGTAAGAAGTGATGAATAAATGTTAATTTAACTACTAAATAATTAAAGCAAGGGGAAATCAGCTTCATTCTACTTTATGATTCTACCCTAGATGACTATGACAAAGTCATTATAAAATAGCACATTCTAAGTGAAAATCTAGAAAGGTCATATTAGAAAGTAAGATAGGGGATATAGTTTCTAGAATATTACCATATACTTTAAATAACTAAAATAATAGTTTTTTTTTAAATAAAGAGGAATTCAATTCATTCAATTCTAAATATGAAGAAATAACTCAAGGTAGGATATGAAAATTAAAAGCAGTTGGTACAATTGTGATTTTGCTCATTCAAAACAGATTTACCTTGATTTGTTCAACAAATATGTTCCTAAGAAGTTGTGCTTAGATGTTAAAGCATAAAAAGCAAACTGTAAATGAGAGTTGTACAGTAAAAAATTAAAACAAAACTCAATGTATCATTCTGTAATGCCAAATCTCTTGCTGAAATGTAAATAATTAATATCTAACTTTTCAATGTTATACATGTGCATTTTTGTATATTATAGTCTCAACAGTAGAGGGGAAGTTTTATTTACAGATATTGGGCATTAAATGGTAGCACAAAACAACATGTAAGGAAGTAAGTATTGACAATATAATTCAAAATATCTGAAGGAAAATCTGTTAGTATTTTTAAGTGGATTTTGAATATGAACTCTAGAAAAATACATCAAAAGATAATTCCCAGACTTTTATAGTTAAAATTGAACAAGAAAAGAAACACTTTAAAATTAAAATTCCCTCCTTCAGAAGAAGGGTAGTAAGACTACCAAAGAAAGTGCTTGTTTTGTCTGTTTGAACACTGCTTAAAAATCTTACCATATATGAAGGTTTCCACCAAAATCTCCAGTAGCTAAATATCTCTGTTGTAAAGATGCTGCACCAAATGTTCCACATTTAATGGGTTTGGTCTTTTCAATCTTGAAAGAAGGGAGGGAGAGAAGGGACATCATTTATGTAAACAATTATTTGGAATTCACAATATTTATGGTTCTATAAAACATATAAAGGCAATTAATAAAGGCAATTAAAACATTTTCTGATTAAAAAAATCCTCTTCCTTTGGTCACCTGTTATGTACTTTTAAATTAAAAATTTTTTAAATTTACTTTTTTCTTTTCTTACTAACAACATTCAAATGCTAACAACTATACCATCTCCATTGGTTTGCAAACATGAAAGTTTCAGCATTTTATGTAAGTAATATTCTTTAAGATCCTCAGTAGAAATGAGAACATAATGAAGATACTGTTCTTTCCAGAAGATGACAGGGAAAAAAGATGTTTATGTGTCTCATAGTTTCCCTGCAAAGCCCTATAAACTAAAGATGTTTATGTCTACTTGTTCTGGGGAAAAGAAAAGAAAAAAGAAGATATGGGGCCTCTGGAAATCAGGTAAAGACCATATCATGGAAAAGGCTCTTGGAAATTACCTACTAATACCCTCCTGTCACAGAAGATTGGAACCTAGAGCTGTGCAGATTTGCCCAACTCATACAATATTTAACGTTTAACAAGCTCTTACTATAGTTGAACACCCCTATTCCAAAAAAATCCAAAATCCAAAATATTCCAAATCTCGTACTTTATGACCATAGATATGATGGCACAAATGGAAAATTCTATACTTACCTCAAATCCTGTGATGGGTCACAGTCAAATCGAAGGGATATGAAAGTATTGTATAAGGTGTACGTTATAAGGTATAAATGAAACTTACATGAATTTTGTGTTTATATTGGGAACCATCCCTAAGACATCTCATTATGTATATGCAAATATTCTAAAATTCAAAGTGTAAATGGAAAACTTCAGTTCTAAGTATTTCAGATAAAGGCTACACAACCTGTATATCCAAGTCATTAAATGAGGCAAGAGGAATTCTTGGATGAATGAGACTGGCTATACTCTCAAAATTAGATGTTCCTATCTGATTCCTCTACATATGCGTATTCACCACACCACTCCCACACCTCCCTGGGTCTTCCATTAATTCGTTTTACCTCCTGTTGCTTCCAATTCTTCACTGCCTCCTCCAACCCCCAGTTCCACTTGCCCTGGTCACTGAAGTCCCTCCTTCAACTTAACTGCTTTTCATGGTATTTTGGCTCCTGGGAATTCTGGGATCTGGAATTAGAAGAGGCCACTACTGATGCCTGCTCCATACCACACTCTTGCCCTGTGTTACAACACTTCCTATTTACTATTGGCTTCAACTGATCAAAGCTATTTATTCTTTTTTCTGGTCATTTACAATCTTTCCACTTTTAAATTCTTAATGTTTACAAATTTAATATAATTTCCCATGAAAATCCAAACAGAATAATGGAAGAGAAAAATGTCTCCCTTTTACACTTTTCAGAAGTAATGCTGATCCTTCTCGATGTTTCCCTACACATTTTAGTTTATTTCTTTGTGCAGAAAAAGAACTGGTGAGCCAGATGTAGTGGCACACATCTGTAATCCCAGCACTCAGGAGGCTGAAGCAGGAGGAACACCACAAGTTCGAGGTCAGCCAGGAATACACAGCAAGACCCTGTCTCAAAAATAAAAAGAGAGAGATAGAAAGAAATAGAAATAGCTACTCCAGCACTCCAGTACTTCAGTGCTCAAAAAGCAGTACCGCAAGGTGCAGTCTTTGATACTTGCATATATCTGAAAATTGTTACCTTCAAAGGAAAGAAACCAAACTGAGAACCAGTCAGTCTGTTACACAACAGGCCCTATACTGGACATTTTCACCTTTATCATTGTATGGTTTCTAAAAAAATAAAGAAATTTTAAAAAATGTGCCTACATTTATTGGCATAGACTCCCAGGAGGTGGCACCAAGGGCTAAGGTACAGGAAATGTCCAAAGCCCTTTGAATTCTGGCCTTGGCCAGCTCTGTCTGTTTCCTGCTTCTCCTCTTCTCTCTACTACCTTGCAGCCACACCAGTCAGTTTTCTCTTTGTCTCCAGACACACCAGTCATTTCCATCTAGGGGCATTTGCTGTTCCCACTACTTAGATGGCTCTTCGCTCAGATCATCATGCCTCTTGCCTCTTCCTCAGTAAGATTGCACTTCAAATCCCACATCCTCAGCGACCTTCCATGACCCTCTGATCTGAAGTGGAAACCCCAAGTCACTATCTCTCACCTTACAGAATCTCCTTGATTATAATACTCAACAAAAGTATTTTACTCACTCAATTATCTATCTCCTCTCTAAAATGCAAGCGCCATGAGAACAGGGCCTTGTCTCATTCGTGTTACACCTAGTAGGTGCTCAACAGTTGTTGAATTAAAGTATAAATGAATATCTATCATATTCATATCAAATGAATATCTATACCTCAGTCCTAGTCCTAAGGGAGAGAGAAACCAGTGCTGGACTACTTCTTGTTCTCCCTTTTCTCCCACAGGTTTTCATGTGTATGGCTCTGACAGTTTGTGGTATCATTTCCATGCAACTGTGAAAACAGCTTCTATGTATCAAATGATATATCACACATACATCAGATGATTCTGTTCTAGATGTGCTTCCAGAAGAGACCAACCTTCTCTTAACAACTCTGCAAATGTTAAGTATCAAGAACATCACTTTGGTGATGAGGAAACAGGTTCAGCAGACTGAGTGACCCGCTGTAGGTCCCAAGAGCTAGGGAGACTCCAAGGTCTTTCTACTGAAGGAGGCTGCCTCCAGGCCTGTATGTGAATCTATTAAGTGGGCATTTTATTATGTAGCTCCATTCTGTAAAACTGAGAGTCATCACAAGTACCAAAGAAATGTTCAGTAGTGAATTAAACATACTTTCAGATTTCTATCCTTTTCTTTTGAACCACACTCATGGTATTACTAGATAAATATATTGGATTATGCTTTTGTACATTTCTCATGTACATTTCTTTTTTTGTATGAAAAAACTAGATTTATAGACACTAATGGTCTGTTGTGCAAGAATCAAACTCAAAAGTATATAAATATATTAAAAATAAATTCAAACACAGTAACACCTTGTCATCTGCATGCAGTGAGGACTACACTTTGTTCAGAAGGGCTGAGCACTGCCCTTTGGAAAGCAGGCATGTTTTCTCTTTCCTCAGACATTTATAGAAATCCTAATAGCAGTGAAATCAAGAGAAACTAATTTTTTAGAGTTCATAGAGTTCTAACTCTGTTAAATATTTTACCTATAGAGAAGAAAAGATGCATAGAATCCGGCAGAACTTAAAATTTTTCTTACTAGACATCAGTTAAAAAATTGAAGATTTGGTGAAAATGATTCCACTGAAGTATGTATTAATAATTTTTGCTATATGATACTATAAGTGACCACCCAGGATGGTTCCCTGGACCTAGCTTTTGGTATTCTTTGCTACCATGATATGTTACCACGATTAAAGAAGCCCACCATCTTCCTGCGACAGCTATTTTTGTTCTGTCTGTGGGTGGGTCTAGTACAGCTTGTCAGTATTTCCTCCTCCACATCCTGGCACTACTTAATTAACATTAAAAGGTTTAGTCAGCCAAATGCTAATAAGCAGTGAATTCAGTAGCATGGGGGCTAAAATGCAGAACTTTATTAGCTAATTTTTACTTTATTACTGATTTTATAGTATAAATACCCACAACCATGATTCCATTTTTCAGGGCCATCCCTGTCCATGTGATACCTTTGTGCCAATTAGAAAAAAAAACTGCATTTGATAAGCATATCAAGTCTTACACATGGGAGGCCTGATGAAGCAAAAAGAGAACACCCAGCTGGACACCTTTGTGTAGGGCACCAAACTGCTCAACTGTACACACAGGCCCTGCCCTCCCTTCCCTGTCTATTCTTTCAGCAGTGAGAGAAGCGTAGCATCACCAAAGGCTGATTTGCTCCCTTCCCCTCTTATCTTAGATGCACAGGCTTTGAGGCACATGGTTTAGGGTAGTTTTATCATGATAAATCAAGTATGTTTCCTAAAATTTTAATAAATAATCCACCTGGCCCAATGGTTCTCAACCTTGGTACTCATTAGAATCACCTGGCAGAAGTTCAAAAAAAGGGTACTGATGTCCAGACCTTCTCCTAGTCTAGATACATCAGAGCACCACTGCCTCAGAATTTCTAGGAGTGGAAACAAGGCATAAATATTTGAAAAACACGCACATACATAAACAAAAACAACAAAACACTCAAGATGATTCAGGCACACCATAAGGGATGAGAAGCACTGAGCCTGTATTTAACTTATATTATTTTATTTCAACATACAATCAAGGTTCTTAGATGTGTTTTTCCATTTGCTTTACCCTTCTTTAAATAGCAGGCTTTTTAAGAAAAGGGATTCAGGGCTGGGGATTTAGCTCAGTGGTTCCGGCGCCTGCCTTGCAAGCACAAGGTCCCGAGTTTGATCCCTGGTACAAAAAGAAAAGGGATTCATCTTTCAAACACCCTTGCTTCTTTTTTAACATAGTGCTTTGAAATTGCACGTTCTCAGGAATTTATAATAGAAAGAAAAGAAGTTTCTGGGTAAAGATATAAATTTATTATTCCCAAGATTGAGGTAAGGGATGGCGCTTTCATCTTTTTTTTAATCTATATTTTCTCCAATGAATACGTATTATTTTTCTAAAACTTTTAAAAAATTTCTTAAATTCTCCAGAAACTCTAACAGAGACAAGACTATTTCACTCAATTGAATACGTAGATTGCTGAAACCTGTACAAGTCTTAATTCTTATTCAAAAAGCCACCAGTCTTTTAGATGGTTCCTGGTTGAGTTTCAACTGGGCTTTATTACCAATACTTTTTTTCACTAAACTATAAATTTCTCATCACATCCTATTTATGCCCATACATTCACTCATTCTTTTAGTGACTAATTTATTGAGTGGCTCCTCCTTACAAACCACACAGAAGACACTGTCTTACTCTCCAGGAGCTTACAATCTAGTTAGAGATAAAAGGGACAAAATTCATATTTCTATCACAAGTAAGTAGTACCGGAATGCAACAAAAAGATAACTACTTTGTGTGGGCCATCAAGAAGGGCATCATACATCAGAAAATCTGGAACACCAACTGGGAGCAAAGTGAAGAAGAATATAAGGGAAGGTGGAAAAGAACAAGCCATATTTAGAAATTCTGCCTGGCTAGGGAGAGCAAACTGAACAAGAAAAAGGCACTCAGGGGAGTTTAAAATGGGTCAGCACCTCGTCTAAGCCTGCTTATCCAAAATGTGTATTCATCTTTTTCTTACTAGTTTAACTCCCATCTTCTCTAAGCCAATTCTCTCCACAGCTCCTCTGTGCGTGTGTGTTTGTGTGTGTGTGTGTGTGTGTGTGTGTGTTACTGGCCATTGAACCCAGGGCCTTTGCACTAAGCTACATCCCCAGCCCCTTCTAAACTCTTTTCTTTTGAGAGTCTCACTAAATTAAATTGCTAAATTGCCCAGTCTAGGTTCAAATTTATGAATCTCTTACTTCAGCCTCATGGAGTGCTGGAATTACAGGTGTGCATCCCTTTGCGTGGCATCTCCATAGCTTCTGATCCCTGGATCTATCTCCTCTGCACTTATAGTCTATTACAATCCAAAATACCTACATATGACTGATCATTTCCTTTAGATAGTTCAACTCTAGTCATTTAAAAAATTTTGAACAGCTACAGAAATGCTGCTAACAATGTTAGCCTAGCATGGTTGTCTGCACCTTTAGTACCAGAAGTATCTAGGAAGCTGAGTGTAAGAGGATCTCAGAGCTTCAGGCCAGCTTGGACAACTTATCAAGACCCTCAAATAACACTTTTTTATGCTAATTATTATCTTTATTCTCTACATTCTTTCACTAGTGATCTTTACAAAGCTTATAAATCTGTTCTTACCACACGCTGATAAAAGCCTTTCAATGATCTATTTTTCTTTGTAAAAAAGGCACAAATCTTTTAAATGGCCTACATATTTTGCAATGTGATTCCTGCTTACTTGTCCTGTTTCTTAAGGAGACAAACTTTTTCCCATTACTGAACTTCAGCACATGCTGTTTCCTCTAGAAAATTCGTCCGCCACTCCTACTTTTAGTTTCTACTCATCTCAGGCCTGTTTTCACTCCTCAAACTATGTTCTTTGTGTGAGCGAACTCACCTCGGCTTGTATTTATGCATTCTTCACTTGATTATTAAACTAAATGTGTCTCCCACCAAAGAATTAACTCCGTGAGATCAGCAACATTGTCACTCACATGCCTGGGAATACCAAGCACCTAACCAACACTTGTCGAAAGAATAAGCGTTGGGTTGTCTTCTCTAACACAGGTACTCTGGTGGCTGCGTTAGCTCTGCTTCCAAGAAAAAGCATTACGTGGTTGCACTAAAACTTTTTACAAACGATTGCAAACTAAATGGTTCTCGAATTTAGACACGAAATCTTTGCATCACTTCCCAGAGACTCTGTGCTGCACTCCACTGGGGGTGGCAGGAGAAGGGGGGTGGAAGGGCGCGGAGGTACAAGCCTGCTGAGACTGCAGGATTCAAAAGCAAGGTTTTATGTCCGAAGCATTTCTTAATCTGCAATCAACTTCCCTTGTCCCTAGGTGCTCGAGCTACGCTTTTAGGGGGTGCTGAACAAACGATGTGGCAAAAAGCGTGGGGACTATGGGAACACTCGTCCCTAAAAGCAGCCCAGGGCCTGGAGCTGGATAGCTTCGAACGGCACCCACCTCCCGAAGCAGCTTCAGGTCCCCGTGCTGGATCTCGTACAGCTGAATTACGCCGGTTCCTCGTGCGAAGTTGCCCATGGTCACAAACTTGGCGCTGCAGGGAACCCACTTACAATCAAACACCGTGTAATTGAGGCCCTTCTGGATATGGGCGATGATCTGAGGCTTCTCGAAAGCCGACATGGTCTAGCCGACTTCACTTACAACCGCCACACATCCAAAACCCAACAAAATATTGACCTAGAAACCAGCCTCCAAACTTAACGACAGTTGGTCCTTTCCGCTTGCCGTACTCTGCCCCTCTACAAATTGGATTTAGTTATCTTCAATAATGCCAGAAGTACTTCCGAGGTCGCACAAGATGTTTCTCCACAGACGGCACAAATTTGACTAGCACCTTTACCCACTAATTTTTGCTCATGTACACACTAGTGATTACAAAATGCCTTGGCTGTGAGTTGCGTGGTTGGAGAATGACCCTAAAAATCAGGCATATTATTAGGATAGCCCAGGCAGACACTCACCAATCCTGCCTCAGGACCCTCAGTGTAGGACCTCAGAAGGGCGGAGGCCTGGGGTTGATTGGCGAAGTCTGGCTCCCGCGGAGCGCCTGCGCAGTGCAGTACTGCACGTGTTCCCGCTAGACTCGCTTGCCGAGTGTGGAGATGGCGGAAATGGCGGAGATGGAGACGCAGACTGCGGGGGCCGAGGAGGGGTTCACCCAGGTCACCCGCAAGGGTGCCCGGCGGGCGAAAAAACGACAGTCTGAGCACTTGTCCAAAGCGGGGGAGGACGGGGACGTGGCCCGCATGGACACGGAGGAGGCCCGGCCGGCGAAGAGGCCCGTCTTCCCGCCCCTCTCCGGGGATGGACTCCTGGTATTATCCGCAACCCTGGGATAGGATCGGAGCAGGGGCCATGGGCAGGTCCAGATAATGGTCTCTGGATGATGTCGAAGCTGTAAGGGGCTGTTTTGCTGTGAGGGTCTTGAATGACTTTTCTGAAACTTAACTGGTTCAGATAAGGGCAGCGTTTGCTAGGTCGGCTGTCATTTTACAACTCCACCCACAGCTCTCCAGGACGTCTCCTGAGTTTTTGGTTTTTTTTAATTGTAGAGTGGGAAAGAAGAAACACGGAAAATTCCAGTTCCAGCTAACAGATATACGCCATTAAAAGAGAACTGGATGAAGATATTTACACCTATTGTAGAACATTTGGGACTCCAGATACGCTTTAACTTGAAATCAAGAAATGTAGAAATCAGGGTAAGGAGAATGTCAACCATTTCCAAACATACTGGTTTTTCTCCTCCTCGAATCAGAACACATAAGTAGATTTTCCTCAACGAAACTTGGTTTTCTTCACCTTTTAAAATATATAATAACCTTAAACTTAACCAAATGCCATCAAAATCTGCCTCAACACGAATGTTAACCAAATTCATAAATTAATTCTGAAATCGTGCCAGAGTGGTGACAGTGCTTGTGTATAAAGTATGTAAATAACAAATTAAGTACATTTTCCTTCTTGAAGATTTTTATATTGTCAGGACTAGTATAAACATGTCTGTTAATAGGCTATAATCATGGACCAGGAGGCAGTACTCTTAAGTAGTTGGTAAAGTTTAAAATGTTACAGGATGTGACTGATAGAACCTATCTTTGTTCCCATTGCCACTCTAATTCTGGCTTTTAGGATTTCATGTCAAGAGTTACTGTTTCCTTATAAGGGTTCCTTTTCATTATTATTTAAGTTTCTTTTCTTCACTCCATTTTCTGTGATAGTGCCAGATCAATTTTCGCAGAACACAGTGCTTCTGTTTGATATTCTGGCATCTCCAGCACTTCTAAAGGATAAAAGTTAAAGTGACTGACCATGTCTGCCTTTAAGTAGGAAACCATGAAGATGACAGCTAAGATGTGTAAAGCATTTATTGTATTTACGGTGGTAGACATTTTATGAATATCAACTATTTCTGTAGATATCGAAATTGAGGGCAAAATCTCTACTTAGTTTCTCCTTCAGTAACAGCCATGTGAGTATTTAGAACCTGACTTGTTGATTTGGGAAACATCACCAGATAAATGGTCATGAAGTCAGAAGATTAGGTCAGGACTCCCAAGAAAGATTATCTTGAAGGGAAGAGAAGAGGATCAGATGGTGCACTTGGAAGGGATGGACAGAATGAAGGTCCAACAGCATTGAGCTGTTGCAGAGGAATGTTGCTGTTAACCCTAGATGTCTGGAGGGTCACGTAGTGTATTCAGTCATTTTACAGTCTTTGGGTGGAATTGCCCAGCCTAGCTGGGAAGGGTTTGTTTTGCATATTCAAGACAATATTTGTCCTACTAAAATAAGGTTATCCAGACTATATAGCACAAGGGTTGTGGTGTAAGAAATTTAAATAATTGGCAAGGGCCGGGGATTTAGCTCAGTGGTTTCACTGCCTGCTGCGCAAGCGCAAGGACCTGAGTTTGATCCCCCATACCACAAAAATAAATAAATAAGTAAAATAATTGGCAAGGTTATTTTTAGTCTGCTATTAGAGTATTTTCTTTTTCATTCTTTTCTGTAAGTTTGTACCTGTTTTTTGTTTCTTTTTGTTTTCAGACTTGTAAAGAAACCAAGGATGTTAGTGCTCTGACAAAAGCAGCTGATTTTGTAAAGGCCTTTATTCTTGGATTTCAGGTGGAGGTGAGTGATTTCATGACATCTGTAATGGAGACTTCACATTTTTTTTGTTTGTTTGGGTTTTTTGGTTTTGTTTTGTTTTGTTTTTTTGTGGTACTGGAGAGTGCACCTAAGACCTTCACACTGAGATATATATCCCCAGCCCTTTTTTATTTTGAGACAGGGTCTCACTAAGATGCAAAGGCTGGGCTTAAACTTGCAGTCCTCCTGCCTCAGCCTCCCAAAGTGCTGGAATTGCACTACTACACCTAGCTAGAAAAATATTTAGTGTGGACAATTCAATGGATAAGTCATTTTTAAAAATGTGAGTGTTCTAACACTAGAGTGCTTTAGTCCCCCGTTGATTCTTATGTCACTCATTCTCAGGTACTGTGTCTTGGCGATGAAAGGACCTTCATGGTGTTTATTTTTATATTCTAGGATGCACTTGCCCTCGTCAGGTTGGATGACCTCTTTTTAGAGTCTTTTGAAATCACAGATGGTAAGTTTGTGGTCTTCTATGAAAAACTGTTCTTTTTGGTTGCTGATTTTGCATTGTGTTTTGATTCTTAGTTTTTCAATAGCATCACTTGTGCTGTGTTATTAGCTCTTGTAAAAAATGTTTATTTAGTTAATAATTAGACTTTATGTGGAAGAGTCAGTGCACTGGAGTAGTTTGCCACCTGACTCTTGCTTTTCTCCTTTTAGTTAAGCCTCTAAAGGGAGACCACCTGTCAAGGGCAATAGGAAGAATTGCTGGCAAAGGAGGCAAAACCAAATTCACCATAGAGAATGTGACACGGACACGGATAGTTTTGGCTGATGTGTAAGTTTTTGATCTTGTGAAAATTCTCACAGATTTATATTTCATCTTTTGTTAATTGGGAAAAGTCCTAACAGTTGTGTTTTATATGTAATGTTGCCACTGAAACTTTGTCAGTATATGTTTCTGGGTGAATACTTACCTATTTTGAAAGATTAAATTGGTTGAGAAAATTTCAGTAATTACAGCTTTTAGTTAGCAATGAAGGAAATGGTTAAAATCACTGTTAAAAAGAAATTATATTACAAATGATCTCAATAGGGACACCTATTAAATCAGTAGGGGAGAGCAAATAATAGGTGCTTCAGGGCCAGGGACTTAGCTGAGTGGCACTGTGCCTGCCTCACAAGTGCAAAGTCCTGGGTTCCATCCCCGATACAAAAAATAATAATAATAATAATATAATAATAATAATAGGTGCTTCAAATGACTTGTGAGGCTTTCCTGTTTTAAAGTACTATGTATGTTTTATGTGGATATATGTATATTTTAATATAAATATGTATACATGTAAGTACATATATTCTCAAGGCCTTTCGTGAAAGGAAGATGAGTATTGCACATTGGTTAAAAAGCTATCAAGCAGTTTTGTGTTAACATGAGATCATACGGGCTTAAAATGAGAATAAGGGTGGCAGAGGAGAAGCTGGGATTACCCCTTCCTAAGATTGAAGCGGCTCTGCTATCAGTTTGAGGATCTTACTAATACGTGGCTCAGAGCTTACATAATGCCATGAAGTTGGCAGATGAAACCGATGACTGATGGGAAGAAGGGCCTGCTTGCAACTAAATACAGAAGTAATCATTTAATAGCATCTTACTTTTGCTCATATTTTTGGTTTTGTATAGGTTGAGCCTAGAGTCTGAAATATGAGCTATGGAGCTTTTTTCCATTAGACATTTCAAAAATGTGGCTACGGGAAGGAAGAGTCACTGAGATCAAAGGAGAGAAGGGTGTGTTTCCAGAAGAAGCACATACAACTATGTATAGTACACAGTACTCAATAGTGTGATAAATGACTGTTACTGTTTTAGGTACTTACCGTAACATGCTATGCTTTTCATCCTTTAGAGCATAATCCTACTTATATAAAAGAGTTTACTGTAAAACATTGTGCTGCTATGCCAGTGGTAGCCTCATGTATCTCATGTTTAACTGCGTATTTGGATAATATCAAGGAGCCATCACAGATGATTGACGTATACCTTTTCAGTTTGCACTTAGAAGTTGGCACTCTGTGTGGTACTTTGTGATACACACGGATGAAATTGCCTAATAACATTTCTCAGATTATATTTCCATCATGTGTCATATGACTATTGAAATTTAAATTTAAAAAAAATTTGGCCTATGTGGAGTCTACTAGCTAATTAGAATTTTTTTTTCAGACCACTATTTGTTCAATAATAGTTTTGAAAATCTTTCTAAAACAAATCACATCCTTTAATGTCTTGTTAATGCTTGAGATTTTTTTTAAAATTATATGGAAAAATGTTTAAGCACTTTTCAGTTTTGTTTTGAATTCTGTTATATTTGAATATTATTATAGTTTTTTCCCTTGCATTGCTTTTCTTTGAATATTTTAATTTTTGTATATGCGTGTTTAGTGAATGATAAAGTTATACAAAAAAAAAGTGAATATGTATATTTTAAATATTGAATAGAGCCCTGAAAAGTTTTCGTTAAACTTTTTAAAGAGTTTCTTGTGGCCTAATTAACATACAATAAAACTTGTTCTGAGTATCCAGTTCAGTGAGTTAGCAAGTGTAACACAGTCCTGTAGCCCTGACACGCCACACTTCCACCGTCCAGCCTCCTAAACATTCCTAGTGCATATTTACAATCATTCCCCTCCCCGACTCTGTTCTTAGTCATTGCTCTACTTTCTGTCACTGTGGTTTTACCTTTTCAAGAAATTCATATAAATAGAAATAGCACAGTATGTAGGCTTTGGGATATATCTTTTAGTTAGCATGTTACGTTTCTCCATTTTGTTGCATGTTTCAGTAGTTCCTTTTTATTGTCAAGTGTTATTGCATAGGTATATTGTATTCACAGTTGATAGTTCAGTTATTTCACTTGGGAACTACTTATGAATAATGTTGCTGTGGAATTTAATATCTTTTGTATTTTTCTTACAAACTGAATTATAAACTACTTGAGATTAAAGAGACATACTGCCCTGTTTTTGCTATAAATATGCTAATTGGAAATCTCATTTAACAATTTATATTAGTTACAAAATATCCATAATATAGACTAGTATGCACCTGTAAATGGTATTTTTGATGAGTTGTTAGTAGCAACAGTAAAATGAGCGAGATATAAAAGTAAAATCAGTTTTAGATAATCAGTACCACATGGGAAATAATGTTGCTTAGGTGCCTTGAGACCTGTATTCTTTTCTAATTATTCCCATTACTTTGGTTCTTTTGGTAGTAGAACTACTCACACTTTATTCTTGTTTCTGTCTCTTTAATTTTCATACTGCATTTTAAGTAATCTTACTCTTATCAAAGTGAGAATACATGTAGTTTGAAAAGCCAGGAATATCTGCTACCTGCCTTCATTTCACCCTCAGAAAAGCTAGTTCACCTCTCTTATTAGACACTTTTTTAAATTACTTATCTTCATCTGGGTGCAGTGGTATAGTACTGCTATAATTACATCTACTCAGGAGGCTGAGGCAGGAGAATCAAGAGTTCAAGGCTGGCCTGCACAACATTTGGGAGACTCACGTCTGGAAAAAAAATTATCTCAGTATTTCAAAATATCTTTATATACAGCTTCTTGATTTATTTTTTCAGATTTACTTTCCATGAAAGATACTTTGCTTTCTTCACATTTTCTAGGCACTGCACACACTCAGCTTTTTATTTTTTTAGCACTTTAGCTTATTCCTCCCTATGTAACCACCTTGTGGCTTCCATTAAACCAGTGCTCATTCTTACCTTAAAACAGAAATACTCAGTGCTCGGGATATTCATAGCTGAGCCAGATGATATTTCTCTTTTGTTTGTTTATTTTTTGGTACCGGGGATCGAACTTGGGTCCTTGCGCTTTCGCAGCAGACGGCGAAACCACTGAGCTAAATCCCCGGCCCTGATATTTCTCTTTTGCAACTTTGCTTTCACTTGAAGTAATTCTTACTTGCTAGTGTGCTTTCTTCATTTTCAGTGTACTAATTCACTAAAGAGCTATACATCCTCTGTATTTGTGTACGTCTGATGTTTTAGAAATCTCCTGGAGCCTTTTGTTCCAAAAGCACCCTGCCTTCTGCCCATCATGTTGGCTTCTCCTTTCTCCTTTGCCTCTTAGCTATTAGAAACCCTGGTTCTTGACATCTCTTTCCTGGAATTCTGCTTCTGGATATTCCCATTGGTAAGGTATGTGACGGTTTACGTGGGTCCGTGAAGTCATTTCCACCTCATTCATCTGCTTCCCATCTTCACAGTTTACTACTGTCACCATCCTCTTCTTTCTTTTGAGTTTGTCTTAGCTATCATTGTAGTAACATTTGGGGAAGAAGCACATGTAAATTTGTGTGTGCAATCCATCTTGATGTGTAAAAACTGGCCTCCATTTGAGAGAGTTTTAGTTATAGCAAGGTGAAAGGTTAACAGAAATTGAAGAGACAGGATTTACCTCATAGCTTTTGTGGAGGGCACAGTGGAAAGTTTTAGAAAATGGACTCAAGAAGGTAAAATTCTGAGTTATACTATTTGAGTCATTCAGTAAGGAATGACTATTAAGAGTCTGATGATCCTCAATGTGTTAAAGAATTTGAGATGACCTTTAAAAAGCTTTGCAGTTGAGACTGAAATATGTTGTAATTTAAGTACAGTATCATTTGTGTTTCTAGATATTCAGTGACTAGCTCTGGGAGTGTGTAGTCTTAGGTTTCTTGTTTTCTCCTGTAGTGCTGTTCAGCATGTTCACATATCCTACAAAAGTGCTCTACCACTGAGCTGCATCCCCAGCCCTACATTTCTTTCTTTTTTTTTTGGTACTGAGGATTGAACTCAGGGCCTTGTGCTTGCAAGGCAGGCCCCGGAACCACTGAGCTAAATCCCCAGCAACCCTACATTTCTTGATGTAACTTCTTTCTTTATCTGTACTATGGAATTACTATCTACCTAATAAAGCTTATGTGAAGATTAAGTGAAAATGTGTGTATAAAATCCTAACATAAAAGTACTCACTGGATGGTAGCTCCTATTAACCAAGAATCTTAAATTCTTAGATTTTTTTTCTTTTCTAATAATTTTTTATTGAAATACAGTTCCCATATTATCAAATTCACTCCTTTCAAAAGTGATTTTAGAGTTATTACAGAGTTGTACAGCCGTTACCCCACCTTCATTTAGAAATCTGGGTCTATCATGATTTTCCAGTTTTCGGATTATAGGATATAAGTAAAGAAATGCTTTTTGTAGCTAACTTAGGAACTTGTTTCACTTTATCTCTTTCAGGAAAGTTCACATCCTTGGCTCTTTCCAAAACATCAAGATGGCAAGGACTGCCATTTGCAACCTCATCCTGGGTAACAGCAGTTTCTTTCTTTGGTATTTGTCTGGAAAGAACAGGGAATTTAGAAACTCAGACTGCATTGACAAACCAACTTTAGGGTAATGTTAAAGATGCAATGTCAAATCCTTCAGGAGTTAGTGAGTTTGGGTCTAGAGAAAAACGTAGGAATATTTTGTTTAGATTCCATTTGTTAGCTAAAGAAAGGGTTTATTAAATATTGCTGAAATCTCTGCTGTTTTCTGATGAAAAAGTGCACAGAAATAACAGGGAACATAACAGTTTAGGTTCAACAAAAAGGAAGCTGCTGAACAGCTTCAGTCAATTTAATGGATCCACTTAATCTGAGTTATAGCATCATAGCAGCTTGCTGAGAAAACTTTAGAATTCTCTTCTGGGGCCCAGGGCTGTTTGACTGGCTTCTTTTTAAATATTTTGATAGTACTTTTGGGTCTTAGAAAAAAATGTAGAAAATATGTGAGTATAATTTTCTGTAAGGTTCTTTTGGTGATTTAATATACCTCTAATATGCCAGGTATGGTGGCACAAGCCTGTCAACCTAGCTACTTGGCAGGCTGAGGCAAAGAGGATCTGAAATTCAAGGCCACCCAGAGCAACTCAGCAAGACCCTGTCTCAAAAAAAATAATAAAGGGCCTGGGATTATAGCTCAGTATTCCTAAGTTCCATCTCCAGTAATATTTTTTTAAATTTAATAAAAAAATTGTCCATGGGCTGGGGATTTAGCTCAGTGGTGCCGCCGCCTGCCTCGCAAGCGCAAGGTCCAGAGTTTGATCCCTGGCACCAAAAAAAAAAATTGTCCTTGTTCTTTTTTGTAGTAGTGGGGATTAAACCCAGGGTCTCATGGATGTTATGCAAGTACTCTGTCACTGAGCTACACCCATCAACTCTTCTTTTATATTTTATTCTAAGAGTCTCATTAAGTTGCTAATTCGCCCAGGCTGAGCTGGACTTAGGAGTCCTCCCTCAGCTTCCTAGAGTGCTGGGATTACAGCTGTGTACCACCAGGCCCAGCTCTGTCCTAGTTCTTATTAGGGTTAGAGAGCCTATCCAGTGTAGTTTTTATATATGTAAGTATATTTATACATATATATGTATAGCTAATTTTTTTTTCCTTTACAGGAAATCCTCCATCAAAGGTTTACGGCAATATTCGAGCTGTGGCTAGCAGATCAGCAGATCGGTTCTGATTTCAAATTAGGAGACTTTATCTTTGGACTCTAAAGAAAAAGACCTTGTACTTTTCAGGTGGTCACACAAAACCATGTGAAGAATGTCTAAGTCACTTTAAGCCTGGATCTTTTCTTCTGTTCTCAGCCAGCAGCATAAACAGACGGGAAAGGTTTAATAGTATTCACATTCAGTGACTTTTAGGACAATTTAAGTAACAAAATATAATGTATCATATTTTTCATTTAAAATCATATATAGCAGATTTGCAATTTAGAATCCTCTAAAGAAAACTTATTGCATAAACAGTTTCATATAAATTTTGCGTTTATTTATAAATTTGTAAACATTTCTTCTCTGTAAATTGTAACTAAAAGAATCATCTCAAAACCTATGAATCCTGACCCTTAATATGTTGTGTGAATATTTTATAATCAAGTCATAATCAACTCTTTGGCTCCAGTAAAACAAGTAAGTGTGATTGTCATACTGATTTTGCAGTTTAGAAAATTAAAGCCCTGCATCATAAAATTGATGTGAAGACAAGTTTCATTTTTGAGTACTTAATGAAATAGACATTACCAGTGTTGAATATATTTCTTTTAAGTAGAAAAGGTTAAGTGGTGAAAGAATGTTTTTCTTTCAGGGAAATTACTGTTCTGCAGAAGAAATAGATTCTTTTAACTAGTCTATTGGAATGTGATTTGAAATTTTTACTCATTTTTTTTTTATTCTTATGTTCTTTTATTGGTACATTTTAGGTATACAGTTTGTTTACATTTATCATTGGGTATTTGTACCTGAACATGATATATCTTGATTCTTATTTTTTCCCCATTACCTGTGTGCCCTTCATGCCCTCCACCCTTCCCTGTTTACATAGACATCATTTCCATTTTTTTTCTTCTCTCATAATTTTTCCTTTCCCTTCTTTCCTTTCCTCTTCCCCTCTCGTCGCCCCTACCCCTTTGGGCCTTTTTTCCTATTTCACATTATCAATTATTCATTTTAATCATTTTAACCCTTATTTACACTTTCAGTTTCTCACACTGGAGAAACTATTTGGGATTTACACATGTGCGTCCTATTTATTTCACTTAAGAGTATGGCCTCGATATGCATCCATTTAACTATAAATGACTAGTTTCTCGTTCTTTATGGCTGAGTAGTACTCCATTTTATTTTAAAAAACACATCTTTCGAGTTCAATCCCCGGTATCAAAAAAACCCATCTTTATCCAGTTTCCAGTTGATGGGCACTTGGGCTGCTTCCAAGCTGTAGGTATTTCAAACTGTGCCGCTAATAAACATGGGTGGACAAATATCTCTGTGTTATGATTCTTTTAATTCTTTTGGGAAGATAACCAGCAGGGGAATAGCTGGGTCAAGTGGGACCTCTATTCCTACTTTGAGGTATCTCCATACTGATTTCCACAGTGGTTGTACCAGTCTGCACGCCCACCAGCAATGGAGAAACAGAGCTAACAGACAGCCTACAATGTGGGAAAAAAATTTTAGCAGCTGTACCTCAGACAAAGGACTACTATCTAGAATCTATAAAGAACTGAAAAAAACCGACTCCCCAATTCAAAAATGGCCATCTGAAATGAACAGACATTTCTCAGACAAAGAAGTAAAAGCAAATACATGAAAAAATGTTCCACATCACTGGTCATTTGAGAGATGCAGATGAAAACAACACTGAGATTCCACCTCACCCCAGAAAGAATGGCTATCAAGAAATCAGTAACATGCTGGTGGGGATGTGGGGATAAAGGAACCCTTTTACTCATTTTTTAAATGGAAAGATCCGACTTCATTAAACATGTGATTTTGTTACTGCATCCTGTTACACATACCAAAATTTTGATGGGATTATCAGAAAGTTCATATTTAAGAACTAAAAGTTTTATTACACTTCTGTTTGTTCTACAGCAGTTATAAAGTATGATGAAAATGGGAAATTTTGCAAAATTTACAGTAAAAGACATCGGCAGTAATCCATGCTAGCCTTCACTTTGAACACATTCCATTGTTCTTGCACTTCCAGAAGCAGGTCTGGAAGTCTTTTTTTTTTTTGAGTCTCTAGTTGTGTTCTTGGTGGCTGCCACACTTGAATTAATTGAAAACATGGCAATTTCTGTCAAAAGCATTACAGTGTATTCTCATCCACCTTACCAAATTTGGTAGTGTGTGACTTCTGGCTTTTCCCCAAAGTCAAAATGATCAGCTACTGGGAGTTTGAAGGGGACAAAATGTTAGAGGCAACTCAATTCTCAAAATAGAGAATAAACAAAGAAGAGGTTGCACTATTTAACGCTAGTAGTTATTCTATTGTACCAGATCAGGTCACGTTTAAACCCTAAGGCCAAGACAGTAATACCTCAGCCCTGATCTGTGCTTATCCATGTTTCTATGGCAGTTGTCCTGTTTATTCAAATTATTGTAGGGCCTGGGATTTAGCTCAGTGGTTCTGCTGCCTGCCTTTTGAAAGCTCAAGGACCCGAGTTCTATCCCTGGTAGCAAAAAAAAAAAAAAAAAATTGTGTCTGCAACTACCATAAGGACTCAGGATCTTTGGGTACTCAGTCTATCACAACTCTGACAGATTACACTTTACTTACAGATTTACTGATAAATTTCCTTGCATGATGGGCCTAAGACAAGAGTATTTTCTTAGGTATTCAGTGGCTAACAGTCATTCAGAAAAGATTTGGCTTCCAACTCATGCTGCCTGGAACTGGGTAGGGAAGAAAGTTTGTATTTGTTGAGCATGTGGCAAAGATTTCCTGATCTTAAAGATATGTTAGGTATGTTAAAATTGGGATAGCATGCTTAAGTTACATATAAGTATTCAGTAACAAGATACATAACCACTGTGCAACTTGAAATACTTGTCCAAACATCAATTACTTATTTGGTTAAACAAACCAAGAGGTTACAGAAGCCTGACTCACCCATTTGATCTAGTTAGTTGCTAGATTTAATGCTCAAAGTGAAAGACTGAACTAGTAATGAACTTAAAATGTTTAGCTAATGCAATGAATTTTTAATATGGGAGTTTTTTGAGCTGATTAAAATTTCATAACTGAAATACCATTTTCTTTGTAAGTTCTAGAAACTCTACAAAAAAGTTGCAATTCTTTACTATATTGTCTACACTTACCCTTTAAAAAAATTGTTTAAAAATATAGTGAGCTGGGGACTTAACGCAATGGCACTGTGCCTGCCTCACAAGCACAAAGTCCCGTGTTCGATCTCCAGTACCAAAGAAAGTACCAATAAAATATATATAAAGCTTACCATGTTGTTTTGAGATAGGGCCTTCTTGTGTAACCCAGGCTGACATCAAAGTCATGATCCTCCTGCCTTAGTCTCCCGGAGTGCAGATTATAGGTGAATGTCACCATGTCCTGCTTAACCACTTTTAATTGTACATACCATTAGCGACATGTTTGTTTATGTGCAAACATCACTACCATCCATCTTCAGAACTTTCTTCCTTAACTGAAACTACCCATTTTTGTTTTGGCAGCACTGGAGATTGAACCCAATGCTTTCATACTGAGGTATCTCCCCAGAGGCCCCCCCCCCCCTTAAATTTCAGTCAGGGTCTAAATTTCTCAGGACTAGACTTTGTGATCCTCCTGCCTTAGCTTCCCAAGTGCAGGAATTAAAGGCATCTACCACTACACCTGGTTTCTGCCCCTAATTTTAACACGTAACCCTCCATTCCCCCAGCACTTGACAACTACCAGACTATTGTCTGAAATTCGTTACTCCAGCAATCTCACATAAGTGGAATCATACAATATTCGTATCACTTACCCTTGCTTCAGGGTTGATCCATGTTATAGCATATGTAAATTTGTTCATGTTGTGGCCAGTAGTCATTGTATCTGTACTTTATCCATTCACGTACTGTACCCTTTGATACTGTGAATATTGGTGCCACGAACATTAAGTATACAAATGAGTCCTTGTCTCTACTTCATTTGGGTATATATCCAGAAGTGCATGCTGGATTATACCGTGATTTAGTATTTTGACTTAATGCCACGCTGTTTAATGCTGCACTATTTTACATTCTTACTATCAACACTGAAGAATTTCAACTTCTATACTTCCAGGGCAACATTTAGTATTTTTAAATTTTTTTTATTTTGTGACGTCAATGAGCGCAAAATTGTATTTGGCTTTGATGTACATTTGCCTAATGATTAGTGCTGTTGATTGCCCATTTGTATTTGTTCTTTGCAGTAACTAAAGTCTTTTGCCCATATTTTAATGGTTTTCGTTTGAGTTGTAGGTATGTTCTGATTATCGATCCCTTAGTAGTTATGGTTTCCAAGTATCTTCTCCCACTCCTGTAAGTTTCCCTTTCATTGTGGATAGTCTTTTTTCCTTTCTTCATACTGGGGATTAAAACCAGGCCTTTGAACTGAGCAACCTCCTCAGCTATTTTTATTTATTCATTCATTCATTCGGAGAGTTGCTACAGTTTAGGCTGGCCTCGAACTCATGATCCTCCTGCCTCATCCTGAGTGCTGAGATTTCAGACATAACACCATGCCTAGCTTTAAATTTTCTTTTTTTTGGTACCGGGGATCAAACTCGGGTCCTTGTGCTTGCGAGGCAGGCGCTGGAACCACTGAGCTAAATCCCCAGCCCTAAATTTTCTTTTGACAGGGTTTTGGTAAATTACCCAGACTGAGCCCCTTCTGCTTCAGAGTGCTGGGATTATGGGTTTGTGCCACTACACTCCAGCACTTGTGTACTCTTGTTATAACGAATAGGAGATCTAAGGCTTAAATGCATATATTTGCTTAGGCTTATCCTACTCCTAGAAGATCTAAAGCTTGAACGTGTGTATCTGTTTAGGCTTATCCTAATCCTAAAATACCCTAAGAAACCACAGAATTCAGTGCTAAGTACGTCTTATCTAAGGCACTCTGGACAGGATGGGTGTTCTAGGTACTAAACATACCCAACATACCATCACTCACATAGGCTAGGGATATCACTTACCTGTCATGAGTATCTTAAGTGTCTAACAAACAAAAAAAACTGAGAAAAGTAAAGAAGGCATGAATTTGTATTTTTAAATAGGGTAGCGAAGAGACTTCCTTTTGAGCCAGACATATCTGAACAAAGAGGTGAAGGCATTAGCTACTAAATATTGTGTAATGGAAAGTCCTAAGGTGAGAACAAACCCAAAAGGTGCAGGTGCCACAAGAAGACTGAGAAGGCTGGAGGAAAGGATAAGTAGTAAGACATGAGATCAAGGAGGTAATGAGTGGAGGAGTCCCATAGGGCTTTATTGGCGGCTTCAGATTTGCCTATGATTTTAAAACTTTTGAGTTTTTAAAACATACAAGAATGAAGAGAAATTATATTACAGCTATGGAAGTACATCAAATACCATGGAATACATTCAAGCAAGTTTCAAATATTTTATTTTTATTCATACAGTATGAAGTTTTCTAAAGATCCCACAACATGACATATCATGCAGAAGAAAAACTAAACATTCAACATAAACCATCCCTCCCTACCCACCCCTACACACCAACTAAAAAAGGAGGAAAAAAGAAAAAAGAACCCTCATTCCCCAGTAAGGAAATAATGTTTGAATTATTTTTCTGTAACGCCAGCCAAGATATGCACAAGCAAGAGAAATAGAAAGCATTTGCTAAAATATTTGTAACAAATAATTATGTACAAAAAATTCACAAAAGACTAGTTCCCCCTTGAAGCAGAGCACATGGCAGTTGACACTGGAACAGATCAAACCACTGGCTGGGATTGTAAGCCATGTACTGATCCAGAGGAAGAAAGTTACATGTAGTGGAGATTTTCAGTTTGAACATTAACATTTCCAAAGTTTGGCAACATTATCTTTTAAAATTATGCAAATTATGTAAACAAGAGGTACATTTTAAATCGATCTACATGCAAAACTCCATGTCATGCAAGGACACCAAGCACCGGGATTTTTCTCTCACAGACAGAGCCCATGATGTGCAGCACTCAGTTGAAGGAACAGCGATGGCAGGCAGGTGTGCTCAATATTCACCTTGATTCAACCTGCCCTTTAACCATTCATGACTACAAAACCAGTTTTTATAGAAAAATTGTACAGGGAAAGACTGTCATATGAAGCTAACCAAAATGTTTTTCTTCCAGCCAATAGTACCTTTGCAGAAAAGGGAAGGGATAACATCAAGTGGTGGAACATGATACACTACTTTTATATCACACAAATTTATTGTTATCACTTGTTACCAATTGTATGGGCAAACAAAAAAAATCATGCACCCTCTATGCCTTGTGATAAAGAAATATAGGAAGTATAAATTTGGATAAAATTTTGCTCTTCTGTGGCATATAGATTAGCAAGATTTCTCCCATTTAATCACAAATACAGGAGGGTATTTGGATATATACATGCACATTAAATATCACCAGTCTTTTCAGATTAGCTGCAAATCTTTTGAAACACGTAAGAAAAACTTACAGGTCAAATACTAGTTTAATGACAAATTATTTACCCATGTATAATGAAACAAATTGATATCCTAAGCAGTCACATGATTACTTCAGGTTTTCTTCATTAAGTAATGTGTAAGAGAAATCATGATTACCCCAGACAGCTCTGGTCTTTTTGTATAAAATCACAACTGGTAAATTACAATTACTCAGGGACATTTAATAAATGTAATGCCTCCTAGTTACAAAGTAACAGAAAGAAGCTGCCATAGCATTGTGCAGTTACATATGAATACAAGAACTAGCTCTTGGCAGCAGCACTAACTATACTTTCTCCTCAGCCAGAGATGGATTAAAAGCTGCTCAGCAATGAGACACAGTCCCAGGAAATATATTCATAGGTATAAAGTTACAGACTCATTTGTTACAAAAATGCAATTAAGGTAATAGGACATTAACAAATGCTTTGTCAATCTCTCAAAGGAGAAAGCACAGGTAAAGGAAAATAGCTGGCCTAACACCCGGCTCAAATTGTACAATCTTCTATCTACATATAAAACTGTGTGAAATAAAAGTAAGGATGTTTTATGTTCTGCTTGGCACTTTTGTACTCTATCGTTTTGTTTCTGAATCAAGTATATTAAATTAAAGCCAACTTACTACATATATATAGAAAGCTACATATATCTATATATAAATATTTACATATGTATATATAGATACTTTCGTTATAAAAGATGAAGAAAAATAAATTAAAAAGCCAACCCCTTCCCTTTCTCCACCACATTGATATGCTCTTTTCATGTTGCTGTCCTTCAGACTTTAAAGTGCTACACTGAGTTATTGAGAGAAGAAGAGTTCAATAACACTTAGTTGGCTTCATGAGGCTCATGTTGGAAAATGTGGCTTCACAGAGAAAAATACTTCCATTTAAATACACAGAGAGCATTGCTGGACGTCTTGAGCAGATCTTCAGAGATGGAGAAGAAAGCAAAAGTGTTGGATGGTACTCTTCAAAGAGTCACACATCTACCACCATCTTTTTGTGGATATCTAGGCCACCTACAACCTGCAACAGACAAGAACAAATAAAGCTTAACAATACTTGAGAAATGTCACTTTAGTAGTCTAGCCATCTTATCAAAAGTGCAATTTAAAAACATTACTTCAGCCATTTCCAGAAGCTGGATTTTTATAGAGAAACCTTGAGTGATTCTACCTAAAAATTTCTTATCTTCTTCCATCTAGGGTAACAGGTATTACATTTTTGTGTTCTAATCCAAGTGTCAGCAAACTTGCTCTGTGGAAGTCTGGCAAGTATTTTGAGCTTTTTTTTTTTTGGTACCGGGGATCGAACTTGGGATCTTGCACTTGCGAGGCAGGCACCAGAACCACTGAGCTAGCTCCCCGGCCCAATTTTGAGCTTTGTAAGCCACTTACAGTTTCTTTTGGATTTTCTCTTTCTGTTTAAGCAACACTCTAAAAAATGTAAAAACTTCAGGCCATGGACAAGATTTGTTGTGCTCTGTAGTTTGCTGATTCCTATTCTAGTACTTTTAACATTATATGATAACCAGATGTGATCATAAAAATTGTCCTCAAAAAACCAAATACAGGCTTTTCTATCAGCCTATTCTAGACAGTATTAAAGTCCCAAATGAATAAAATTTTCTATACATGATTTTTCCATGAAGTTTTATACATCTCAGGAAATACTGACATGGTAATCTAAAGTGTAATAAGTATTTGTGTTATTCTGATGTTTTATTACATATAACCTACATAAAGTGCAAGAGTCATAAATGTCCACAGCTTGAGAGGAGTTTCATAAAGCAAATACCAAGTAACCAGCAACATCATTACCAGAAGTAGTCTCTGGCTCCCTTTCAACTCACACACACACACACACAGACGTGACTACCCCAGCTTACACCACCATGGGTTGGGTTTTGTTTGTACATTGTGTAAATGGAATCTTTCAGACCGGCTTATTTCACTCAACACTGTTTGTGACATTAATCCATGTTCTTGTATACAATGGCATCTTAAAAATATAGCATAAAGAGCCAATTCTACAAAACCTATTATGAAATGAGTGGTTTGCTACCCTGCTCTCATTCTCTACTTCTTTTCAAAGTGATAACTGCTTAAAAATTTCAGGTTTCAGTATTTACCTTCAGGTCTTCAAACAATATTCCTACTTTTTCTCTTGATTTAAAAGCTTTAGTCACTACCCATACACTTTCCACCACAGAAGACAATTTAGCTTTCACATGCACTTCTCCCTCTCCATCTCCTACCCCATATACTTCCCATCCCCTACACTTTTCCCAAGGTTATTTTTGTTTTGATTAGACAGAGGAGTTCAGCCATTTTAAATTACTATAACTATATAAAATACTAACAGGTGAACAAACTGCATACTATTACTTTATTTTGCCACAGTGAATGTCTAATAATTTCTTTTGGTAGGTGTTCAAATATCATGAAGTTCACCCCAAACTTTTGAGCCAAATACACTCAAATAAATGTACCCCATAAATTGACTCTGTTGTCTTGAAGACACTCCCAGAGCCTCACCACCTGCTGTCATCTAGACTGTTCGCTCCTGAGGCTTCTTGTCTCTGTATCTCTCTGCTATCATCCTACAGGCAGGTCTCCTTCTCTTCTCTCAGGTTGGATCCTCTACTTCCTGGATCCCATATTATTTTTTGATTTACAACTTACTATAGTCTGGGCACATCTTCCCATAGTTTCCAAAAAAGGAAGACCTTCCCTAAAAATGCCAATTTCTATTGCTTTAAGTTTGTAGAGCATTCTAGATTGGAAATAACTAGGCTCCTCAGAATTGCAAAAGTAATGCTCCAATGTCTTCTGATTTCCAAGTCTGCCACTAAGATCTAGTGCCGTTATGATTCTTGACTTTGTATAAAGCCCCTCTCCTATGCCTCCATCTTACTATTCCAGCTTTGTAGACTTGTCTCTTTAGTCCTACTGTTCTCACCAATGTGCCTACATCCCGATTATAAATTCTATGCTGGATACTAAGTATTTTGGTTAATCTTTTTTGGTACCAGGGATTGAACTCGGGACCTTGGGCTTGTAAGGCAGGCGGCAGAACCACTGAGCTGAATCCCCGACCCTGTTCTGGATAATCTTAATCATCAAATCAACTGGATTAGGAGACTCCTGGAGAATTGACTGGGTCTTGAGGGTGCCTGTGCACATTAGAGGATTAATCCATTGCTGTTCACAGCTGAATGTGCTGTTATGCCTCAAGGAAAGCCCAGGTGGAGGTGGATCACTGGGGCCTGTCCCTGCCCTATGCTCCACTTTCTGGCTGCTACAAAGTGAACAGCTTTGCTCCAACACACCCTACTGCCACAGAATAACCCAACCGTGGCCTGAAAACTCTGAAAGCTTCTGTGGCCAAATTAAATTCTTCCTCCTCTACGTTTCCAGTGTCAGATATTTTGTCCAAGTGACAGGAAGGTGACTAAAACAGTAAATTCAATCAGGAAATATATTACTTTGGTTCTGAAGTATTTTCTTGATTTATTAACATTTTTTCCCCTCCATTTTCTGAGATCCTTGGCATTTAGGTGGTATAGCTCCTAAAATGGATCTCGAATTTTTTTTGAGACCAGGTCTCACTACGTAGCCAAGGTTGACCTTGAACTTGAAATGGTCCTCTTCTCTCAGCCTCCTGAGTGCTGGAATTACAGGTGTACATCATGATGCCCACCCAGCTTGGACCTCTAAATTTAAATTCCTAAGATCTCTTTTGTATGTTATTCAATTTATGGTTCTAAGAATTCAATATATCATATCTGCAAGGGTAACAATAACAGGCTTTTGTTTTAAAATTTTTATTGGCCTTGCCCACCTATTTCCCCCAAGCTTCTTTTTTTGGATTTGTCTTGGTTTCTATGTTCCATGGCAGAGTTTTTTTCTCCATTGTTTGATGATTCAAGGTGATACATAGTTATGAACTTTTATTAAAAAATTCAACGTATGGTTTAGTTTACCACTCAAATTTCTAAATAACCAAACTCAGTTCGTATCTTTTCTGCTATTCATTCCATTCTTGTGGGTTCATTGCCTTTCCTTGTTTAACCCTTTGAGAGGAAGAAGAAACAAATTCATGTGTTCAATTCTTCCATTTAATACAGTCACTAATCATTTACAAGATTTACTTACCTGGACATGATGGTGCCCAGCTATAATCCCAGCTACTCAGGAGACTGAGGCAGAGGGATCCCAAGTTTGGGGCCAACCTGAGCAATTTATTAAGACCCTATCTCAAAACAAAGGCTGGGCATATATAGCTCAGTGGTAAGAGTGCTTGCCTAGCATGCATGAAGTCTTGAGTTCAGTGTCAAGCATCACAAATTTAATAAAATTTTTAAAGTACATGTACAAATTCTTTTAAAATAATTTTTCCATCTCTCTCACTTTTGTACCTTGAGAAGTCAGAATAAAAAGAACATAATGGATGAGTTTGATCCCCGGTACCAAAAAAACCATAATGGAGACAAAATTACGGCCTACCATGTGTGAGGCCCCGGGTTCAAACCCCACTACTGCAAACCAAATCAATGTTTAGAAACATGACTTTAAACACAAAATGTTTTTCTCAATTTATGGATTATGCCTCTCAAAAATACAAGGGCAATTTATTACAAATATTGGAAAGCAAACACAAAGCTTACCTTATGTCTTTAGTATAGATAACAGCATCATTTAAATACATAAAAATGTATTTTAATTTCCTTTCACTAAATCAAGTGTATGATACATTTAATATTTACTAAGTGTAAAGAGTCTTCATGTATATATATCCCTACCACACAAGCCAAGCATTTTTTATTTCATTCCTCCAAGATTTGAGATCTTTTCTTTCCTTCTTTTAAAAACTGAGTGGAAGGAGACGTTGAAAGAATTAAGATGCATTATCATTATATACTGAGAACATGTACTTAAAAAAAACAACTGGCTGCTATCTACAATGCCACTACCTGCTCGGTCACACGTCACACCCAACCATATGTCACATGTCAGTCCATGGTAGACCTTCCAGGATCTTTGGTAATGCTGATGGAGGAGAAAGGATGGGATAGTAAAACACTGGAGCGGCATCACTTGGCAGCAGTGCAGTCACAAACCTATCCAACTCTTCCAAACAAATGTAACCTATTTTTTACACTCACCTATCACCCTACTTTATGAAATACCGGAGACCCCTGCAGTTAGGTTCCAGTACCCCAACCAGTATACGACACAGTCCTGAGAAATAAATACACTAAGAGGCAGAACTAAGAGAAAGAAAGCGAGTGCTAGGATGACCAATGCTGACGCAACTGACAAAGGCCCTGGCCAGTCCCAGGCACTGACTTTTATTGGCAATCAATTGTGGTAAAGGCAAGCTACATGCAGTTTCTATGGAAATTAATGTAAACAAGGTTCATAAAGGACAAAACAAAGCATTTTCAAATTAGGAACAGAACAGACAAAATATATGGTTGTAATTAGAACACTGTCCTTCTAGACAGAAGGTTTTAGTTGTGGAAACGGAATTTGGGTGCCAGTTACTCTGACCTCTGCACACAGACTTAAGTCAGACTCACTTCTCAAAACAAGCCAATTGTGGGGTTAATTCTCTTTACAGCCTGGCTTTGGGCATAATCAGTATTATGGTTCTCTGCAGTGAAACAAAACACGAGAATTAAGTATTCCTTTGTAATGACGGAAAATGCTAAGGAAAATACTATATACTTCAGTACCTGCCTAACATACAAGTATCAAAGTGACTTGTTATCACTTCTGTGACTTAAATTTAAAAATGGAAAGAAAAAGAGGAAAACCTTCCTATAGAAGAATCCAGCCATGACTGAATTAAAAATCTTTAAACTTTTTACTACCTTTACTTTGGATACTTCTATATTCTCTAGTATTTGTAGTTGGTAATTAAAAATCCTTATAACACATCAAAAGCTACTCTCTTTGCTAAGGGCAGAAGTAGAGAAGTGAAGCTGAGTAGTTGTGTTCCTGTTTGGAAGCAATCAGTGGTACCAAATCCCTGGGTCTACTGAAGAAAAGCAATAAATAAGAGAAGCTGCTCTGTTGCCCAGTTTCTACTCAGAGAGGTTTTCTAGATCTTCCCATAATTGCAGTTCCCACCTCTGCATACAGCCCTTGTCCCAGAAGAGAAAAATTACATCAACAGCTTGGAAAAGGATAGAGTAAATCACCATGCACACTTCATGGCAGGCAAATTTAGGATGGTAGGGGTGCTCTCCATTTTTGTAGTCCTTGTGAAGTTTCTGGTATTCCTATCTGAAATTCATAAACTCCTATTTCCCACAGAAGCACTTTCACACGTTAAATCTTAATAACCTACTTGCAATTTAGGGGCTATCAAAAATAAATAAAAATTACTAGGTTCCATTCTTATGGCATTTTATCAGAGAATGACTATGAATATTGATCCTTTAAAAAATTTTTATTAGGATGTTTGCCATACATAATGTTTCTTGAGACTAATAACTGCTAATTATTTTCAATTAAACAACACACTTCTAAACTTTGTGGGGCAATTTTGCAAAATTGACTACATAAATCTTTAGGGCATATACCATCAAGAAATTTCCTATTGGGCCGGGGATTTAGCTCAGTGGTTTCGCTGCCTGCTGCGCAAGTGCAAGGACCCAAGTTTGATCCCTGGTTACCCACCCCCCAAAAAAAGATTTCCTATTAAGTGGCTTGTAAAGTATGTTTTTGAAACACAAACAATGGAAGAACCAGTTCTTTCATACTTACAGCACAGAATTCTTCAAAGGATATTCTTCCATCTCCATCCTTATCTGCATTTATTATAGTTTTGTCTACAATTTGCTGTAACTGTGTGTCTTTCAGGTTGTTCCCCACCATCATCTTCAACACCTGGAAGAGCTCCCCATTGGAAATATAGCCATCTTTATCCATGTCGTAGATACGAAAGGCAACTGAGAAAGGAGGATAGAAAATCAATACAATTATAAGGCAATCACATGGTAATGCTTCCAGAGAAAGAAAATTAAACTGCCAAACATCCAATACTGTGACTATAAGAATGCTCTTTCCTAAATATAAAAACTGCCCTTAGGCATAGTTTAACATAGTTACTTAAATCTATGAGTTACAGACTCAAGACTGCCAGGGCCAAAGAGTATAGTGTAAGGTAAATTATCTAACCTTACACAGAGCTAAAGATGGTTACAGTTCCAACATTTCTTTCCACTTTCATTGGGGGGAAAAATAAAATAAAACCTCTTATCTAAGTTTATAGTACGGCTGTTTTCAGTGAACTGAAATTCTGTCTTCCTTCTACACAACTAAAAACAATAATAGTTCCAGGCATGGTGGTGGGTACCTGTCATCTCAGCACTCAGGAGGCTGAGACAAAAGAATCACCACCCCAAGTTCAATGCAAGCCTGGGCTACATAGTGGGTTTAAGGGCAGCATAAAAAACTACACAGTGAGACACTGTCTGAATGCACCGCCTTAGACCACTCGACCATCCTGATGGCGAGCCTAGTGAGACACTCTCTCAAAAAAGCAATGGCACAGTATTCAACTATACTAGTTGCAAATGCCCTAAAGAATTTTCATCAGAATATAAAATTACTGTTATGTCTAAGGATGTGGAATAAAAGAAACCTTCCAGAGTATTTTAAGAGAAGTCCATAATGTAGTAGTCCAAATGGTAGTAGTTTTGGAGGGAGAATGAAACGGGCAAAAAATACTTACACCTCAACTTCTGCTCCTTATCTCCTTTGACACTGAACTGAGAGACTCCCTCAATGAATTCTGAGTAAGAAGAGTTAAAAATGTTTATAAACCAAAACTTTCAATTTTTTACACAGAAAAACCAATAGTTTATCTTACTTACCCACAAAGGGATACATTCTTCTGCAAAACAAAGTACTTCTAACAGTGCTAAAAACTAATAAATGCCAAATTTAAAACCTCCACAAACAAGATTCTATATATTGTTTTCTTACTTAACTTGGAGTTCTCTAAGGTTAATCAGTTTGGATGAATTTGTTAAGCACTGTAAACTGTAACACTCAAAAATATTCTTAAAGCTATTTAACTCTTCTTAGAGGATGATTAAAATGGGCCTTTTAAAAAGACTACAAGGGCTGGGGACGCAGCTCAGAGGAGGTGCCTGACAAGCACAAAGTCCTGAGTTCAATTCCAGGTACTGAAGGGGGGAGAAAAAAAGACTACAAATTATTTTACAAAAATAATTTTGGCTTTCTGTTCCAAAATTCAGAATTATTTAAATACACTGTTAGAAGTTTCATGCAAACTCTTTACTACCTGAAGTAAATCACAATCAGTTAAAGATCCCTGCACTAGTTAATTCAGTTCTGAAACTAAAATTAACAAAACCTGTTGACAATTATTAGCAAAAGGAGATATTTACCTATAGAATCAAAATATAAAATAATGTATCATGTTAGTATCAGCAAAGGCACTATTCAATGTGTTTGTGAAACCTAGATTAACTAAAATAAATTAATTGTTCTATAATAATGCTCATATCCTTATTCTTAGAGTTTAAATTTCATTGCTTGGTGCATAGTGCTCATTCTGAAAAAGGTGATAAAATATTTTTTAAAACATACTAATTATGTTAAGTTGCCCTAAAGTGAGAATAATTTCCTAGAAACAAAAGAAATATTAAAAAGTCTCTTTGGGGGCATAGATTAGCCTGAAAGACACCTTGATCATTTATGAACCAAAAAAAGTAAAGGGTCTTAGTCCATTAAGACGTATATAGCACAGATTTTGAAGTTTTAACATAATCTTTTGTTATAGCATCACCAAATTACAAAGATAACTAAGAAAAACTAAAAGTCTCAGACACACTTATACATAGAACTGTGATTATACAAAAATTATTTAGTTTGTGATTTATAAAACAACAAGAACTTTCTTACCTTTGAAGTCTACTTCTCCATTCCCATCTGTGTCAAATATATCTATTACTCGCTGTACTAAAGGATTCTGTTGTAATTCAGGCAAAGACATGAACTCTTCCACGCTCAAAGAACCAGAATTGTCCAAATCGAGCTTCTTAAATCTCTTTCCTAGCCTTTTAATTTCATCAGCATCAACTGAAAACCAACAACAACAAAAAGGTAGCAAGATTAAAAAAAAATAAAACTATATAATTGTTATAGGGGAAAAAATTCCAACGCTTATTCAACAGTATAATTTCCAATTTGATTAAAAGTTCATTATATATATATGTAGACTAATTACTTCTAATAGAAAAAGTATGACAAATATTTTACTTGGTTACCTTTCTGTTTGTTTGCTCTTGCCATAATATAGTCAACTGTATGTTGAGTACCTAGATATCCCAAGAATGACAATGCTAAGCTGATCATGAAGGTCACAGGAGATATCCCAAGAATGACAATGCTTAGCTGATCACAGAGATCCTACTAGACAAACTAAATCAATCTCTGCTCTATACCACAGCACTTTTATTTTTACTTCCTTTTGTGAGTCTTCATTTACCTTTTAAGTTCATGGTTTAAAATTCCAAGGCTATTCAAAAGTTTCCCTCCTGTCTCACCACACAATATGCAATTCCCCTCTTTGGAGGCAATGTGATCAGTTTCTTAAATATTTTTCCAGTTTTAGCTAACTTCTTGATACTATCTTCAAGTATGAGCAACTGAAACACAGTTATTTACTAATCTTAATTTGAAAAGCTAACAAAATTTACCTAATAGTTTAAAAGAAAAAAACTCACAATTTTAGAAACATTTGAATTAGTTTATAAGTACAGTTCTCTATAAAAATTTAGTATCAGGTCTCTTTACCTGCATTCTTAAAAAGACTGTCTTTTTTTTTTTCTCTTAAATTACATTATCACCATTTCCCTTAAAGTATCAAGCTAATTCAGGTAACACTGATTATGGCTTACTGGAAATAGTACCTACCAAGTACTTAACAAAAATTAAATGCAACCACTAATCTTTTTAAAAATAAAATGAAGGCAAATATTATATTGTTCATAAGCAGGTATATATCATAGCCCAAAATGTTACAGAGCAAAAATATATGGCATCCTCATTATAAGAATTAAAAAATTAGCTGGGTGTGGTGGTGCATGCCTATAATCCCCACATTCGTAGAGGCTGAGGCAGGAGGATCACTGTGAGTTTTGAGGCCAGCCTGGACTACATGGCGAGACCCTGTCTCAAAAAAATAAATAAAATAAAATAAAATAGTGTTTAATATAAAAAATTGAACATTACAATATGTGTACAGCTACAAGATAGCATTCTAATATGAATTCATTTCTACATAACAGACAGAGAGGAATAGTGTCGACAGAACACGGAAATTTCATAGTTTCACAGGGATTTTCCCAGTTCAGATGCTCCTCCATTTACAATGGGGTTACCTGCCAATTAACCCATCACAAATTGAAAATAACGTAAGTTGAAAATGCATGTAACATGCCTGCCAAACATAATAGTTTAGCCTCATCTACCTTAAATATGCTCAGAACATAAGTTTATGGTTGGGCAAAATCATCTAACCCAAGCCTATTTTATAAATAAAATGTTGATCCCCTCATACAATTTACTGATGTATTTTTTTAAAATTGGCAACAGAGTACACACAGTGTAGAGTATCAGTGATTCACCCTCTTGATCCATCATGTGGCTAACTAGGAGGTGCAACTCACTGCTCTGCACTGCATCTTGAAGGTATTATGCTGCATATCACTAATCCAGGCAAAAGATCAAAATTCAAATTTCAAAGTATAGTTTCTGCTGAATGAGTATCACTTGTGAACCATCATGTCAAGGACCATCTGTGTGTTATGAAGAGGCGTAGGGAAGTTTTCTCAAATTAAAAAGAGAATCTTAATACATAAAAAACTTCAAGAAAAACTTCTCTCATTTTTTATCTCCATCCTCAAAAATACCATCGTTGAAGATGGTTATACACTGGGTCATCAATAATGTTTACACAATTAATTTCTACTGAAGTAAATGATCTCAAGAACATGTACCTCAAAGTAACTGTTTAAGGCTCATAAGTGATAAGCTATGATGTTTAACACAAATTCCAGAGTTAATTTGTATTTGTATTTTTAAGATCATTATTTTTGTTAGTGCTATTACAATGTGAAGTAGTATTAGTGATATATCCTACTCAGATTTTTCCCAGATATGAATGTGATTTTGTAGCATGTGAGGTAAAACTCCTTTACGTTTACTGAAAGAATCATCTACTTCAAACAGCAATATATATATAATAATAATCTGATCAAAATTCAAATATATATTTCATGAGCACATCAACTGAATAAAACATTTTTTTACTCATTAAAGTGTTTTTCTTCTTTAGTAGAATAGATGACAAAGGTGAAGTATTTGAATAAACCGTATTTTTTCTGTTTTCCATTGTGAAATCAGTTATCTTGCTCCTGTGAGAGGGATATAATAAAAGTTCTACAATTTCTTTTGGGTTTTTTGCTTATTTCTTTATAATACCTCAGACCAGAGTCCACAACTTTCTCACAGGTATTCTGTATACAAACAAGTGCTCGATAAATGTTTTAAGTACTAATTAAAAATGCTTCAGACTTTAAAACTTATTGATCAAAATGCTATCAATGTATAAAATAAAATTCTATTTACCTAACCAGATGCCAAACTACAGTATTTAGTAAACCATTTAGAAGAGTTTCTCAAAATGCATAGATTTTGCTGAAGAGCCACACTCTCCATGCTTGCCTCAATTTTACATCCATACCAAAGATTGTTAATTGTTTTCCTCTTGCAATCTAGTTTTCCCTTAGTTTAAAACAATGGAACAAAAAAGATGATGGGAAAATACATCAGCAGGTATATTAGAAGTATAAAAGAAAAGACACCTCTACACAAGTAAACAAATTTGGATGAAAAGAATATCATTAATGGAGTGACAGAGAAAGACAGCACGATAATTAATATTTGTGGAAATTTATTTATTAGATTCTACATGGTAAAGCTGGGAAATGAGTAAGTTTAGAAAGTTGTCTATCAAGAAACTGAACTTAGACTTGAAGGATTGTTTCAGTTACCTGGAAAAACCCACTATCGAGAATCTAGCATTGCAATCTTAAGTAATATTAAGAAATTTGAGAGGGTGGAGATGTAAATCAATGGTAGAGAAAGTGTGATCCAATCCACCTTTTTTTTACATTGTCAACATTCATCTTTTTAAAAGGTAAAGTCAGTCCCACTGCTAGCTCCTGTGCTTAAAAATGTCTCGTGGATTCCCAATAATAAACAGGATAAAATGCCTTAAGCCTTTGACAATATTTAGCTTCAACTTAAATTTCCATCTTAACATCTTACCCCAAAGTCCTTTTCTTTAGCTACACTGTTCTGTGTACAATTTTGCTAAAGCATAAATTTCCATTTCCTTATAAACCTACTGGAAGTTCCTTGCTGGAACACTCTATGAGACTATCAATTTTTCCCTGATTAAAGAAGAGTATCTCATAGTTGTGTGGATCAGTAACTCTCTCTCTAGCAAAAACCCTTAAAAGAATATTTAAAATCCATTTACTTTGTGTTGCTATAAATATCTTATGAAATATTATAAAGTAGTTGATATTTGTTATGGATGAGTAGCTGAAACTTTCAAAGGCAAAGCAGACTGCCAGTGAACAATTTCACTTTCACAACACAGTTGTTGTCAAAGGGCTTTTTAAAAATTTTAAATTATTACTAGTACATATTTTCAGTACATTATGATTACACTCATCCTGGGGAGTTGGTAACATGTGCATAATACATTTTAATTCTTTTTACTTCCTTTCACCCTCATGCTTCTCCCCTCTCCATCTCTTGGTTCCTTCTCATTTGCAAAGATATATCTCTCTGTTTCCTATTGTCAGAGCTTCTTCTTTTGGGGGGGGGGGTACCGGGGATGGAACTCGGGTCCTTAAGCTTGTGCAGCAGGTGGCAAAACCAGTGAGCTAAATCCCCAGCCCTTGTTAGAGCTTCTTAAAAAGCCCCTTAAGTGTGACCTGGAGAAAACAAGCTATTTAATCTTTTCATTCACCACCTTCTACATACCCTGTGCAGACAAAACTCCCCTTGAACTTCTTTGAGAAGCCAGTAAAATGTGTAAGGAAACATTATCTCTCCTCCAACCACCCATTTATTTCCTCCTCCTCTCCTTCCCTTATTTCCAGCTGGGATAATGATGAATAAGACTGACACTAAATATTTTGTATTTACTGTCTAGTTGAGGCTACCGGAACACCTGAGGTAGTCATACTTAGGCCGAACCTATGGCATGCATGCTGCAGCATTTTCTTATCACTGAAGGCTGCTCTAAAAGCACTGATCTACAATATTTGAAATGAGCTAGCTTGGAAAGTAAAGCCATAAATATTTTTAAGCCAATCTAAGAATACTAACTTTCAAGAACAAATGGCAAAAGGTGTTTTAGGTGTTAAACAAAGTCACTTATTTGGCTGTTACTGTCACTATAGAAGCAGTTATTCAAGCATTTCTACTTGCCAGCAATGGACTAGATAGGCTGTGGGATATCAGCACCTACTAATTGCCTACAAATTAGGCAGAGATCTTTAAAATAGATCAAACCCATCTTATTAGCATGATTAACTGTTTTCATTATGTTCACAAAAGATCTGCACTTAGCATCAAACAGTGAAGAACATATTCCAACTTTAGGCACTATCTTGTATCAAAAATGTTTTTCCTATTGTTTAGGATCCTCTCTTAAAAAGAGATGGACCAAAAAAAAAAAAAAATCACCCTCTTGACTCATCTTATGACTCAGAGTTTGCTTTTTCACATTTTGCCAAGTTGAAACATGTTAATTTTCCACTTTTGGGGAAGGATTACCTTTTAAATAGTTGAAATGACATTTCCAATTTAAATTACATCAAAGTATTAAATAATATGAGAAGTCATATACTGTTATCTAAAATCTAGGCAAGATAGTAAATGTAAGATCTTTTAGTCTGATTTTATAAAAACGAAATAGTTATTAAGGAAGTGACAAATTGCTAACACAAAAACATCAGATTAAATTGTTGAGATCTTCCCTGGATCAATGCTCTATT